TGATGTGTTTTGAAACCTTTGAAATGATAAACAAAGTTTTCACAACATGAGAATCAGTGAATCTACTTGTGTCTCAATATATGTTCTTGTCTCACTATAACAGTTAACGTCACATTCCTTGCTTTTGTATATCTACTTTCGTCTTCGATATTTAAAAATCTAATTACCTTATGATATTGCTCCTTAAACTGCCATGATTTACTGAATCTGAAAATTACTCTTGGACATGCAAACACACAAATAATCTGAAAATCTGTGAAAGTGGAAATCCATTCTTTATTACATTATGTCGTCTGTTCATACAGTATACTTCTTTATATATTAACCTATTGAGGCTTAAAGCAATGAAAATGAAATAGAATGACATTGAATATTATTTACTTGATAATTAGTAAATTTTAAGTTAAATCCATTCAGTCTATAAATTACCCACTTATAAAAAGTATAAATCTCGATAAACAATCGCTTCACTTTTCAAAAGCAGAATATTCCTTTTTGCAATTAGATACAAAGTATATAATTTTACAAACAAAAGTGAAAATTATACATTCTAACATTTCTAACGAACGAGTTTCCTGCTAAATAAATAACAATTACTAGTTCAATTAAGATTTTTGTTTGTTTCAATGAGATGGGACATATTTTTAATAGTTTGCTTATGATCAATATTAAGTAATAAATAGCAAAGAATAAAGGTAACAAATAAAAATACAATTAATACATTTAATTAGTGATTAAAAATGCATTGAGTGCCAAAAACAATATTCAAATTATGCCATCAATAAGAACTAGATTTTTTTTCTTTGTTCAAAGTAAATAAAGTCAATCTTCGGTGTAGCAAACGTTCTCATTCAGACGTTTAGTAAAAAGATGAATATATATGCTTTCAATTAATTTTTCACCATGGGTCTATGCTATATATATATAATTTCAAACTATAAAACGAATTAATACTAATCAAACAGTAGCGTTACGTAATAATGCTGTAACTCCAAAAGTGATTAAGGAAATAATATCGAATGATTGTCTAAACGATTAGAAGCGAGCATAAGCTAACCATAATAATTAAAGTAATTATATTTCAAAAAAATTGAGAATATGTAGATCAACGGTTGTCAAGCTGCATATCTGACAAGAGAAATGACAAATTATTTTGATGAAATGTCAATATAATGATAGAAATAAAGGGATCAGCGATTGCCAAATTATGTAAAATTATTCTATTATTGTATTTGTTTATATTAATGTAGAGTCATAAACAAAAGCGAATTAAAATGAAATATTTTTTTCGCTCTATTCATCTTTTTACTAAATAGAAATGGATTAAAACATAGTTTTCGAATCATAATTTACATCAATAACTGAGAAAAATTGAATCAAGTTAGTCAGATAATATTTGTTCAAGGTAAGTAGAAGATAATACAATATTGTATCATATGATATTCAAGTTAATCTAGGCTCCTCAATAGCTTCAGATAATTAAAAATAAAACATTTTAACATTTTTTCACTGTCTTTTTGTAACTAGTAAAACAAATGATCTTAATCATTGTCAGATATATTTTGTAAAATATCAATTTTGTGTAAAGAACACGTAGAACCATTTACTTAGAGTAATTTATAATAATCAGGCTACCTACTCATGGTTCAGAAAATCAATTTCGTTTTAAAATACTACATTTCATCGTAGAATATAAAACAGGTATTCTTTTTTAAATATGGTACTTTAATTCTGTTTTCTATGAATGGTTTAAAAATACCCCAGTAATGATGCCGAAATATAGTATTATGAATAAGAATGTTAATGATTATTTAGAAATGAAACGAACTTTTCAAATCATCTAATATCAAACAGAGGATATTTTAAAATACTTCACTCAACCTGTAGACAGTAGATTAATTATAAATTCATTTAAAAATGAAGATAGTGAGAAATAATAACAATCATGGATGCAAAAAAGTAGATTACGAGTTTTATCGATGTTAACATTGAATATACAGTTGTTAGTGCTTATCAACGTATTGACTTGTTTACTTTACAAAACGAAAATGAGTGGCAGTACTTAAATGTTTTTGACTGGAAAGAAGTCATTTTTCATTGATTTATATTTTCAGTGGTTTTCTTTTTGATGTTCCTTTATAATGCTAATTTTCTTAACACTCATAGTTTTATTTATAGATTCAACTAAAAGTTCTAAACACTTGTCTACGCAAGATACTTAGTGTTCGCTGGCCGGGAAGCATCAGCAACAACCTACTGTGGTAGAAAGCAAACGAGCTTCCTGTTTAAGAAGAATTTAGCAGAAGACTATGAAATTGGATAGAACATACATTACGGAAATCATCAGACTGCATCACGAGACAAGCGCTATCTTGAAATACAGAAGGGAAAAGAAAAAGAGGAAGGCCAAATAACATTTTGTCTCGAGAATTGGAAGCACACATGAAAGGGATAAATAGCAACTGGAAAGGATTGCTCAGAACAAAGTTGGATGGAGAATGATGATGGGTGGTCTGTGCTCCTCTACGAGGGGTAACAGGCATAAGTCAGTAAGTTGACTAGAAGTTGAAATAATAATAATAATAAGTTAACTATTTTCTTAGTTAATCACGAAATCAATACTTTAGAGAAACACATTAATAGAGGAAATAATTAATGGAAGATTTAATGCAAATAACGTGAATGTATGTAGGCGAAAGGAAACTTTATTGCTCTTTAATATTTACTACTGAATTCGGTTAATGTCAATTTGTAGGAAAACTTATCATCAGAATGTACAGTCTATTCATAAATCACCTAACTAAATATTAATCTGTTCAATTTTTTGTCTTATTGTTATACTGTTATACTTGACAACTATTGTAATGATGTACAGTCATGCATGTGAAGAAAAATTTAATCGGTCATTAAATAAATGAATAAAATCCAATAATAGGTTGGTCGAGAATAATATGTGAATAAATGCATTTCCTGTTTGTTTTAATTTTCAAAGTTATATCAACCCTAAATGAATTATCATTTATAGCGTTAATTTTATGGAAAGCTATTAAATTTACTTTGTGCCCTTGAAAATGACCAAACAATTAGAAGAATAAAGTAATCAATCAGTGTGAAAATATTAATCCCGCGTTTTGAACAGTTTGACGGTAACATCACTAGATGTGACAGTGTGTCAATGGTTTAAATCAAACAATCAACAATAATTTATCCAAGATTTTAGATAGACCTTGTTCAGTGGCACAAACTATGAATGAAACCTAACTTGGAGGCCTACAACGGTTCCTGTTGACTGTCTGATATTATGGAGTGTTAAAAATTGTAAATAAATAATTTAAAAAAGACAAGGATGAATAGGATAGTGGAGTATTAAATTGGTCACTTAGTAATAATTTCTTGTAACTATTTATTACTAAAGTGTGGATAAGATGTATTTGTAATCGCTTTAGTTTCGTGCTTGTTAAGTTTTAGTTAATTTGCTGTTAATTTTCATCAGTATATTCAAAAATAAGTAGATGATTGAGGAACGTTCCGTCGGAATATTTTGAATTTCTCTGTAGTACGCGAATTGATTACCCTACTCAGAATTAAATTCATAACGTTCATAGTTTGAAGCATTCATATAAAAATTTAATTGAATAATTTGCAGTACATTCTGACCACTACTGAACTCGGATTAATGTGAATGTGATGATTTAGTTTTGTAGCTCCTCATTGCAAATTCTAGAGATTTATCGTTGTTCATTTTAACGATTTCAAACTTGTTTTAAAGAATTTCCTGATTCTTTTTTTCGTACCTAATTAAATAATAATCTTATATTTAATAATAATTTAACGGATAATTATTTGTCTATTGAATAACCAATTGATTGTCAGGCTAATTATTATTTTCACCCAAGTATAATAGGTCAAAAGATTAATTCTCATGATCAATTATCACTTGGACACATTTTATATAAGTTTTTATTTTACACGTAATGTATATTTTGAAGAGCTTATTTGTATTAGGATGTTCGTGATTCTATTAGTAGACGAACTAATCCCTTTACAATCAAAGCTAAAGGTATCAAGATGAAAATTTTAAGCGTATCAGGTTATTGGTTTAAGGACTTATTAATTCATCCATTCAATCACTTATACAATAATCACTAAGATAAGGAAAGAAGAAGTAACATATAACTCTGTAAAAAACAATAATCAATTTTACTTTAGAGAATAATGTGCTAAAAAATTGTATGCGACAAGATTCTGGTTTAATGTTCCAATCAAACATAAAGACTCATTACAGATAATAAAGTTTGAGATAAAACGTTTTGGGTAAAGGTTGGAGAGATATGTAGGCTGTATAAATCTAAGTTGATAAATTTTGAATTTATTAACTTAATGGCTGAAAGATAAATAATTTTTATCATTGAACCATCATTCGGTTATTTTTTGAAAAATTCGCAAAAGCGCTGAGATAACATTTACAGATTCAGTGTTGAGATGTAACAAGGAATCGTACTAGCATTGATAGTAAATACATTAAAAAGGAAGAATGTATTTGCAAAATCTCAGCGAAAGAACTTGAAGTAAATCCAATGTTTCGCCTGGGAATCTGGTCCAAGCTTTTTCAAGGAAAATATAGTCAAACAACAAAATTATCGAATATAAATAAGTACATGGTTCTTTGGTTTGCTGTATACTGAATACGTCATTCAATCAACGTGAACACTGTTTTACAAATAAATTCTTCCTCTTTCATGTCTCACATTAACTGGGCGCCCAAATATTGTGAAACTATTCGTTCAAATTTAGACGAAAGTTCTTATTTAGGAAATACATTGTTTTTTAATTCTTTACATAGTCAACTAAAATTATTTTCTGTAATCATCTCATTTAAATATTTCAGAAAGCTTAAAATAGTGAAAAACCATAATGAAAAATGTATATGAAAACATTAAACTATTTATAAAATCAGATAATGATTAAATTTTTCATTAGAATAATGATGTAATACATACCTCTTTTTTCTGATTAATAGATTGATCATGACCTGAAAACAAAATAAATCATCATAAAATAATTTTAATGTTTAAAGAGGATTAAACACAAGTACTACATATTACTTAAGACTGAAATGAATAATGAACACTGTGGTTATTTTGTGATCATCTAATTAAATACAGTAGTAAAAGTATGTAAAACAAAAATAATATCATGAATATCACTGGATAACGTAGACAGTCATATTATGCATCACATGTAATATGATCAATCGTTTAAAATATCTGTCAAAAAATGAATATTTCAAGGTTTGATCAATGGAGGAGTTACTGGAAGATACTTAAGATAGATTTCAAGACCGTATGAAAGGGTTACTGTGATTAATAAAGAAAAGCGTCCAATGTATCACCAGTTATTAATTGCATTACACCTTAGGGACAGTTGTGTTGTGTATTTGACTTAAATACAATGAACTGATAGACCTATGACCTAAAAACATGAGAAAAACACAATAGTTTAGATGATCTCAGAATACATTCTCATTTATATAAAGGAGTTATAAGTGGAAAGAAACTTTTATTTGTCTTGAAATAACCTTAAATACAATCATTCTATCGGTTGGGCTTTATTTATGAAATCGCGAATCATACATCATTAGCACTACCTGGACCAAACTTATAAGAATTTAAATAAGTAGAATAAAGAAATGCGAGATAATCATATAAAGTAGCATGTTATGATAAAACATTTTCTAATAACGTAAATATTACAGTTTATCGGATTCAGTGATATTATGACTGTTAGATGTTGCCATAACAACAATTATTACGGTTACTATTAAAATACTGATGAGATAAAGTCACGTAATTGATACTACTTTTTACTGGTTGTTAAGTCTTGTACAACATTATATATAATGTAATGCTTACTAATTTGATTATCTTTTGTAGAGTCTTATAAGCCCAATTGGAAATACCATATCTCTATTTATTCGAGAACATACAGTATGTTTTCGCTGAAGTTGCCTTGACTGTCCACCCTATTCACACTCAGCATTAAATCTGCGGTCGCACTAAAAAGATCTACCATTCTCTCTAATTTTAGTCTACAATTCGATAGTTTAGTCCATAAAATAAAACTCTAGTTAGGAAACTCAATCAGTTAAATAAAAGATTCTAGCAATTTTAAAATGTTATAGTACATCTAAAAAGAAAGTAGAATATTTTATGACTAAAACGGATAATAATAATAATAATAATAAAATGGTAAAGAATCTATTGAAGGTTATATTTTTCTCTCACAACAATGTTATATAGTTAAATTTGTCTCTTCGATAGCTTGTTAAAGAGAAACTATGTCTTAAAAGTTTTGCTACATTATTTTTAATTTCAAATTAAATTTATGTAACATTGTTATGATGAGTTGCTACAAGTCATTTCACTAAAAGTAAGATTGTTTACATTTGTATTTGTGTAATATGCCAAGTATATATTTAGTAGCAAACGTGTAGTATATCGTTTTCTGTATATTATTTCTTATTGTAACAAATATTTAGAAAGTTTCATTGAATGATTACACATATCAACTTGCCAAAATGACTAAGAATTCATCGGAACAAATTTTATGGGAATAAACAGAATTTAAGTGGTAATTTAACTATTAACTTAATAGTAAAAAAATGTTCTTCTGTTTAGTTAGATAATGAGTTAATCTATATTAGTTAATTGTTATTTCAGTCTTTGTATTTGTCTTTTTAGACAGAGATGTCTTAATGAAATGATGTTATAATTTATATTAGTGATAATACTAGACGCTTATTACTGGTACTTAAGTTAGATAAACATACATCTAATAAATATCAGAAAGCAACAAGATAACAGGATTTCGACTGTGCTGAATAATGTATGGTGAATGCAAGCAAGTGATTTTCTTAAGGAAGCTTTTAATTTCTTTTTTTTTTGTAAAGAAAAGTCAATAAAGGACAAAAATATGTCTGTATGATCTTCAGAACTAGTATATTAAAACTATGACAAAAATTAGTGTGGAGATGTAATGAATTAAACAAAATAAGGATTTTTAGTCAGATCTTAAAGGTTGTCCGGAAATCAAATCAGCGTTACTTAATAACAATAAACAATTCTATTTGAAATATATGTAAAGGATAGTTGTTAAATTCGCTATGCAGTGAAATTGATTTAGACATCCGGAGAATAATGGATTTCGCTTGAGGTTATGATTAGACATTGTTGGTGAATATCTACATCTACGTTGTACTTCTTATTAAATCTAAATGTCTGACAAAAAATCAAAAATCCTGTCGGCAATTTTTCAAGGGTGATATAGTAATCTGAAGGAAATATTTTAAATAACTAGTGAAAATAAATTGTATTAAAATTTAAATAAGTTTGCGAATATTTAAATTTAATTGGAGTACAAACTGTATCATGTACGGGTACATCTGTCAGAGAATAAATGTTTCACTATATTCAATGAAATTTTTATCGATTTAGAAGTTTGTAAAAAGTAAAACAAAGTAGTATATTTAGTCTTATAAGTTAAAATAAAAGCAATTTACGTTGCTACGTAGTAAATATAATTGTAGATCAAGATATATTCTTCATCCTATTTAAAGTGAGTGAGAAAACGTTCGCTACTTCCAATAAAACTAAACAAAACCAGCCAATCATCACCTCTAAAAACAGTGAGTCATGACAATATTTAGAAACCAGTAGATATCACAAATCAGTGATCTAGAGCGTACTGATCAGTTGCTTCCAAATACATACGATTTTTATTGGGATAACGAATATCTTAAAACGTTCATCAGTCAGTCAGCTACAACGGTCCAAGTTGCCATACCTCATTAGCACAAAAAGATGAACATCATATTCATAGAAGTAGTTGCTTCAATAGTAGTAATGCATTAAAGATTGTGTATAAGGATATAATACAGGAAGAAAGAGTTAGTTCGTAGAAAGAAAGGTATAAAGCTATTTTAATCTCATAGTTTAAGGAAAGACAAGGAGTGTATACACCTACACCACTGTGATCGATGCTGAGCCACGTCACTCAGAGTCTACAATAATTGGTTACGATAGTTACACGGAACCAACATGCCTCAGACTAGAAGTTAGAGGCTTCAAGCACTGATGCCACGTTTTGGTTTGGCAGCCGCTAACTTTATTTCAACCATCCCCTACACTAGTCAATATTGCGCGTTGTGGGAATCGGTGTTCAGTATGCGTAACACATGGCCCAACCATCTCAGTTGATTAAGATTTACAACCACATCAACTAACTTATCATCATTTCCTAATACACTACGTCTAACCTTACTATTACTTATCATTATTGCACAGATTTCGTTAGACATGAACCCATTAGGGCTGAGCAGACTTCAAGATAAGTGAAGTTGTCAACGCGTTCGTCTGTTTCACTCCCTATCCTTAGTTCAGGTGTTGACGCAGACCAGTCCTGAACCAACTACTTGCATTTAGAGGAGGAGAAGCGCATCCCAAACATTCTGGCATTGTTGCTCAGAGCTACCAAAAGACTCTGCATTTTATCAGCGTCTTTACTAAACAGGACTATATCATCTGTGTATTCTAAGTCGATAAGTGAACCTCCTGGTAGGAGATCGATGCCCGAAAATTCAGTCGAATAGAACGTTGTTTCCATCAGTATGTCTATGGTGAAGTTGAACAAAAATGGAGATAGTGAACAGCTTTGACGGACACCACTTGAGGTTGCAAAAACAGATGACAGTTCGCCATATGCTCCGACTCAATTAGTAGTGTTCAAGTAAAAAGCCTTGAGAAGATTTGTATGCTTCTGAGGTACGCCTTCCAACGACAGACACTGCCACAGAACCTCTCGGTCTACGGTCAAATGTTGCTTTTAAGTCGAGAAAGACCACCATTGTCAGACGCTGATAAGCATGTCTGTGTTCTAGAACCTGACGAATGTTGAATATGTGGTTAATGCAGCTACGACCAGGTCTGAAGTTAGCCTGATTTTCTCGTGTTTGCAGTTCTTGAGTCTTGGTTAGACGGCCGATAATTATTGACGCTAGTATTTCAGATGCTATATGAGTCAAACTAATCCCTCTTTGGTTATCACATGATGATTTTGACCCCTTCTTATATATTGGGACAATCAGTGGTTATGACCAGTCAGATGGGATTACGTCCAACTCCCAGATTTTAGCTAAAATGTTGGTCCACCTAGTCGCCAAAATTGGACCACCATCCCTAAAGACCTCTGAAGCCAATCCATCTGGACTAGCTGTTCTTCCTCGTTTCAGATTAGCTATAGCTTTCTGGACTTCAGCTAGCGTCGGGGGACCTTCTTCAGTGTTCCATTCACACTGTCTGGGAATGGTGGGTAATTGTAGAGTAGTTGAAGTAAAAACGCTCGTACATCTAGTTGATAATTTTTAAATAAAACTAAAGGTGTGTCAACCATTTAGATACAAATCACCATTAATAACTATTTTAAGAAAAATCTAGATATTCCAATGAATAATCTTGTGTAAATTTAATCTTGAACTCTCCTAGCATTTATAATAACACAACCCTAATTCAAAAAATCAGATGATGTACCGATTAATGATGATTTTAATGATACTATTTTAAAATGAATAACAAAATCTTCACACCATACAAACCATTTATCTTTTTGAAAGAACGGTATACCAACACTTGAAATTATTGTTTGTTTTTTCAGAGTTAAAATCAATTCAACCATGATTATGATTGCTTTTTAAAGCAATTAGTCCCTTTTATAAATTGCGAGGGAACAATGAGAAAACGGAGTTTATCTGAAAAATGTATTTGCGCTATACATTTTGAATAATTTCATATTCTTTCTCTCCCCTTCATATAAAAATGCCCTGACAAATATATGTGTCACAGATTGAAATCATGAGTCAATTGAAGCTAGACCACCATGGAAAACCCGGAAGCACTGGACGGCCATTTCGTCCTAGTATGGGACTCCTCAGTAGTGCGCATCCATGGTGGTCTAGCTTCAACTGACTCATGATTTCAATTTGTGAAATTTCTAAAATCTCCAGAAACCCTTCTGAAAAGTATATGTGTGACCAGATTGTTCGAAATGTATGGCGCAAATACATCACATTTTTCAGATGAACTCCGTCTTCTCATTGTTCTGTCGAAATTCTTTTCTTATTAATTTAGAAAACAAAGAAATAACTCGAAAATACTTTTGTTTATTTGATCTTAAAGAAGATTTGATTTTCATTTCAATCTTTTAATAATAAGAAAATTTTGTAGAAAGAAAAACCTTCTTATTTATAGAATACTATTTTAGATATTTCGACTATACGTCGGTTAGAACAAAAAAAGTTAGAAAAGAAAGTTTAGTTAATATTAGTATGAATTTTTCTACAAAAGAAAATTACACTCAAAACATTCTCGTATGGAGAAAGAAACGATCAATATTATGCTATTGTGTGAATTAATGATCTAATTTTAAAAAAAAACATGGTAAAATATAATTTAAATGATAAGAGTTGGTTGCTTAGTGAAGTACGTCAAGCTTCAATTGCTTTAACACATGAAAGGTTTTGCCTATTAAAAAAATGATAAACCAGTATGAAAAAGTTATCTTTAGATATGGAAACAGTAGAAGAAACTGATATAAGAAACGGTAACTGGAACGAATGTAAGCTCAGATTTATAAATGAACAATTTTAATTGTTGCATTCAACAATCTCCAGGAATCTCTAGCAATAATTATTATATGCTCGTTAGTGACTAATTTCGAAAGGTTAAACCAAGAGTTGTAGTGAGGAGCCACGACAATTGGAGTTCAGAAATGTCAGATGTGGGGTAGTTACACACTGAAAGCAACAGAAAACGGTCGTTCGATATCATGAACCAGTTGGAACTGAACATGTGACGTGTCGGATGCCAGCTCAATAGTCTAGAAGTTAATTATTGGACGAAAGACCTGGAAGACACTGACTCAATCTCCAGGTGAGACGTAGATGTACAACATTGTGACGTTGTATATAAAAGCGAAACACATATCAAGTGATCCCAGTTCTTAATAGATGTCTGATTAAGATTAACTTGAAATGTAAACTATGAAAGACAATAATGAAATGAAAAGCAATGGAAGCTGTTTTCAGTAGTATTAACATTCTCAGTGGCAGTAATATAAAACTATTTGGATTCTTAATTTATTAACTTTGTTTCAGTATTTAAAGTATTGTCAGTATTTTATTCATGATTTAATCGGTTTATTCACAATTCTACAGAGATAAAACTTTATTTAATATGGCTAACTAGAAGTCTAAGACTTACAGTTAATATTGTGAAAACATGTGGCTTATATCTGGTAGTATAAACCTATGATGCTTTTTCTATTATTTACATTCATTCCAGAAAATATCTTCATTATAAGTTTCATCCAAATATGGATTTATTATTACATTACCTTAACATCCCTCAAACCTTAGTAACTATTTGCCCAAAAGAAAGTGAATATCAAACTCTTAGAAAAAAACCAAACAAACATAATTCTTTAGAGAAAGAACCTCAAATGTTAGCTAGTCATAAAACAAATTTGTCGTCTACAGTCTACTTGTTTTAGTTTACCAATGAATGTATCTTAATTTTCTACATTGTTTTCGAGGAAATCAAGATTTGCACATTCACAATACTAATGAAATATAAATTAAATTTTTATGTTGAATGCGTTTATTACCAAAGGATAATTCTACTTAGATTTACTAAATAACTCTGAACCATTAATTCTAAATTTACGAATGTCTTACCTATCATGTTCTCATTGAAGCTATAATGAACAGTCATTTAAGTATTTATAAAAGACCATTTACATTTTGTGCAGAACATTCTTGACCTTAGTTTACTCTCAGTTTTGATGTTTCAGATTGACTATTATTTACTATTTTGCGTTGTGAACTGTTTCGGATTCGTTGGCCGGACACTATTAGCAACAACCTACTCTGGGAGAGAACAAACCAGATCCCAGTGGAGGAAGAAGTCAGGAAGAAGAGCTGAAAGTGGATAGGACACACATTGAGGAAAGCATCCAACTGCGTTACAAGACAAGCCCTCACTTGGAGTCCTCAAGGTCGAAGGAAAAGAGGAAGACCAAAAACACTTTACACCGGGAAATGGAGATAGACATGAGAAAAATGAACAAGAATTAGATGGAACTAGAAGAGAAGGCGCAGGACGGAGTGGGTTGGAGAATGCTGGTCGGCGGCCTATGCTCCATTGGGAGTAACAGGCGTAAGTAAGTAAGTAAGTAAGTTGTGAACTGTTATTCACTAGATTTTGTGATAAATGCTTAATTTATTTATTCAATATACTCGAAGACTAAATTTGATCTAATTTGAAAAATAAACTACTAGTCTCCCTGAAATGGTGTTCTATCTCAGAATTACTAAATTAAACTCAATTATATAACCTCTCAAGGTAAAAAAACACACAATGAAACCACTATAAAAATATTTGTGACAGTGAATATTGATCGAAAACGTTTCCTTCAAACAACTTAACTACATAAACACAGTTGAGATGTTTTCTTGGGATACATCAGTACGTTGTTCCTGAAATATGCTTAATAAATAAGATTCTTAAATTCAATTATTTTTCAATAATTAAAAAAGCAAACAATCTAAATTCAATGTTTCCATTGAGGGAATACCTAACTTTCAAATAATGCACGTATTAAAGAGGAAATGAAAAGCTGAAGTTAATCTGAACAATTAACAAAAACAAACCTTTGATAGAATGATTTAATTGATTACGAGATGAATTGTTTGAACGATTCAAAGCATTGTTTAACGATACACGAGAAGATTTGAAACACTGAGGGTCTTCATCAATATATGAATCATTTGTAACAGTAAGAGGTTGGTCGTTTGGAGTATGTCGAATACGTCTGACCGTACGGTTATGATTAACATAATCATTCTCATCAGGGTCGTCATGTTTATTTATATTAGAGACGGAATGAGTTTTTGAATAATTTGAAGAATTACTCAATGTCGTTATTGGTGTGGACGTTGATGCTGTTACTGTCATTGATATTGTTGAGGCTGTACTCGTATTAATGAAAGGATTATTATTATTTGTTTGAAAACGTTGTAATCTGCGTGTATTCCAATAAGCAGTAGTTTCATCTTTATCAAATTCTTGATTATTTGTATAATTACTGTTATTTGTAGCATTAACAGTGTCTGTTTCCTTATATTCGACATTTTCAACCATTTGTAGTTTCTGAGGTTTTTTAGACAAAATTTTAGAATCATTGACAACAGTAGAATGGTTATGGTGTTGTTGATGACTACAGGAATTCTATAAACATGACGAAAAACGAAAAAAATATTAGTCGCTCATATTGTTGTAAAACATTTATTTCATCATGCAGAATGTTATTGGTTGTACTGATTAGAAAATGCGAAATTCCGTCGGTTTCTTTCCAGATCAAGCTATTAGCAGCTGTTCTATGATGATTGTGCTATACGTTTTGAAAGTGATCATTAACAGATAGATAATCACCAGAATCTTTAATGTTCTGTGCATAGATTTAAATGTCACTATCTTTAACTTGATTATTTAGTTAAAAAACAAAAAATGTGTACAGGTTAGTGAGTTGGATTTTAGGTTTCATTTCTTATTGAGATTTGTGATACTACTCGAGCTGTTGACATGATGCTAAAGAGATACATTTAAACGTGAAGCTATATGCCTCGAAATCGAGCGCTTTAATCATTAAGTCGTCAGGTCACAGGTTATAAGTAATCAGTAACTGTATGAAATATGATCATTAACACTCTGATACTACTCAGTTAAAAAACAGAACAGACATACTTACACTAATGTAGCATCTACTATTAATACTATTTAGTCAATCTCAATAATAAGAGAATGAGATTAGACTGACGATTTGCTGATACATTAATACGGTAGGTGCATACACTAACATGATGTAGTGAATTAATAGAAACCCCCTGAGAATGTTCCTTTAAAATGTCACTTTTTTCCATTAAACTATGATATTTTATTATTACTGCATTAAATAACTAATAAATTTTTATTCTTTAAAATTAAGAATAACTTTTATAAAATCCCTGTGTTAACCAAAACGTTTGTTTAATAAAACTATTGGTGTATAATCATTTATCCAACAGGAATTTTTACGCAGTACACACACAAAAATACAGTCCCACACGCAGCATTTAATGTGCATTTCATAATAAATTCATGCATATTGGTAAATAATCTTAAGAATGGTAATAACGTAAAACTTACTCTCCTGTATCAAATGGATTGGTACCGTTCTAAAAAAAATTACAACCTCAGTTTATAGTTCACCACATGTGTTAAGTGGTTCATTTTAGTATTCTTCAATATTTCTAACAATATATTCGAAGTAAAAATGTATATAACTTATCCATTTACTGCATTGATTCTAATCTTACTCTTTGACCTATCCAGTATTCGAAAGACAATGTCTTAAAACCGAATGAATCCTTTCATAGTTTTTTTTGTGTACAGTTCTATTCCTGTTTATTTGATTTAGGATTATTATTATTATTATCGTCAACCAAACTTCATTTAACCATCTTGTATACATTCTCCAATCTGAATACTAACTAAATAATGTTTTGCTGTCAAGATTATCATTTATGATGATAATAAATATTCATTGTGGTACAAATGATGGTTTATTTTATCTGGAAAAATAACCATTATTACTCAAGAGATACTGAAATCTCATTAAAAATATATGTAGCTACAAAGATCATATCATTTGAATTGAACATGACAGCAGATTCAGAAGTATTCTTTATGGTTATAAGTTGAATCTACTGAAATGAATTGTCAAACCAGTCACCTATATTCAACATCTGGTCAAGATGATACACTACATCAGATTATTGAGATGTTAGAGTAGTAAGAGTAGTAAAACAACTAGTGGTTATCGAAAGAATCGGGTACTCATAGTGATTCAAGAAGGAATAATGGATCATGAAGGCATAGCACATGGGCTAGCCGATCAGAATCAAGAAAACGAGTTTTGAGTTTTTATGCTTAATCGTATTCTTGATTTACCGAACTCTAATGAGGAAAAAATTGGAGACTTCTACAAATCTATTATCATTCTCGTAAGTATTCGCGAACATAGATGAACTATATCTAAATAAAATAATTTACATGTGGTTGCTTTTTGGGCCTATTAGCAGAACAACCTGTAGAAGACCTTGATAAAATAATTATGTAAAATTTGGCTACTTTTGTAATATTATTGTTTACTTTTCATAAAACATTGATTTATAAAATCTGATTACTAACTGGTTATTAGTTGGATAAAGCTGGTCTCATTACCATGCTCTCAATGAATAAATTTGTGGAATAAGTCGTATAAGATACTTTTGAAATTGAGGTTCAAAATGAATAAAAAGTGTTAGTATTTCTGCGCTACTACAAGCGATTCCAGACCATACTTCACTTAAATAACTGGCAAATCATCAATTGATTTTTTGACAATGAACAGATACAGTTGTTGTTTCCTTTATTTACAGAGAACGCGAACTAATTCATCTGGTACAAATAAAACAAGTAAACGATTACATTTAGTTGAAAACGTATGGGAAATATACGATAAAAATTTAGTTGAGTCGGTTGGTTCCAAAGTTATTTTTCAAATCGGTGTTTATGGAAATTTATTTGGTTTAGGAATAGCTTTATCAAAACTAGATATAAGTAACTCAGTCTTTCAAAAATCAAGGGACTTTTAAGTGTTGAAGAGTCCTAAAGTACAGTATGCTGATTTCCTTAATGTTGGCTTATCTCAGCAGTATGAATAAAATGTAAAGCTTTCATCGCCATTTTGGGCAAAAGTATCAGGTCTTACTTCGAAAATTAGTGATTTTTTATACGATTATTCCACAAGTGTTAAACTAGTCCGTCTCATAACGGGATAATTGTAATAATCAATAATATTAATTGTTATTATAAACTTCGGCACATACGTAACAAGTTTCAAAATAGACTCTCACATCTTTAGTAAAACTGTGTCTGATAGTGTTTTACAATGTAACAGATTGCCATTACCAAATGAAATACAAAACTGTAAATACAATGGCAAGATTCTTTTGTCAATCATTAAATCTATTTGTATGATGAAAATGAAATGATATTTATCAGTTTAAAAACTCCATTTTTATAAATTTAAGGCATAAATGAGTAGAAACAAGTGGTGAGGCGATATTTTTCTTTTTCACTTGACAAGTTTTCTTTGGTTATAGTGTGAATATTAACACTACAGGAGAAACAGTCTCAAGAAGTGGATATAAAAACAATGACGTTTTGTTATAAATAAATAATATATTTGTAATATCCCAATGAGTAGAAAAATTAGATTTTCTGACCTTTCGTGACTTAGTGTAAGTCACTTCTTCAGAGAATAAATAACCAAATTAAAATTAATCCAAGTTTAAATAGTACAACGGAACAATAAGAATAATATTATGTGATCAATCGAAAACAGGTCTGAACAAGTTAATGTCATGTCATTTCGGTCAAGGTGATTCATAAGAGATATATATGTAAATTTATGTGTATGTATGTGTGTACTGTTTAAGGATGAATAATTGGGTGATATTTATGGTGAGAAAGGATAGAGTTTAATTTGTAAGATGATAGTGTGAATTGTAAATAAAATCAGACTGAATGCCTAGGATAGATAGTCCAAGTAGGATGTATGGTAGGGTCTACTTTTCTATTGAGAGAAGTAGGATTGGGCATTATATGGAACGCTTCAGCTGCTCTCCTTTCTTTGTAGTTGGAAAAGCCTTTTTGCAATATTTTGGTATTTTTGAAATCAATTTGATGGTTGTTGAAAATGGCATGAACTGCTATTGCCAATTTAATTTGAAGTTTATCTAATTCTACGGGATTGTTAGGAGGTTTCTTTGTGTACCTAATATGTTCTTTGGCTCTAGTCAAGATTTCGCAGGATGACTCTCCAGTATAGAAGACATCACAATCGATACAACCTAATTTGTAGACGCAGTTCTTTGTGGATATGAAAGGGATTTTTTCTTTTAAGAGAACTAATGTATTTCGAAGTGTGTTGGTTGTTTTGTAATATACTTTAATTCTGTGTTGTTTTAAGATTCTTTGGAGTTCTTCTGTTGTGCCATGACGGTATGGTAAAACTACAATGCCAATCCATGGCATTTCATTCGAATTATTATTATAACGCACTAAACCGTCTTGTATTAATATACTTCCGATAATCTTCATAGGAAAATTATTAAATTGTAAGATATTAATTACATTTTTTTGTTCTTTTTGTTTGTCTTCTTCTGATGTGATGATCTTGTTAGCTCTTCTAAAAAGATTTAAGGCTAGCGAGATCTTAGCACTGAAAGGATGTGCTAAATGGAAGTCAATATAGCGATTAGAGTGTGTAGGCTTTCGGTAGATGGATAGATTTAGAACTCCATTTAGATTTATTTTCACTAAGCAATCCAAGAATGGTAGCTCACCATGTTCATTTTCATTTGTGAATTTGTGAGATGAAAGTGTATTTATGCGTTTTGAAAAAGATCTTAGATGAGTCTTTTTTATCACAACAAATGTATCATCTACATACCTAAGCCAAATTCGTGGCATAATGTCGTGGGTGAAGATATTTGATTCTATGTGTGCCATAAAAAGGTTGGCTACAATTGGGGACACGAGGGATTCCATTGCTACACCGATAGTTTGTTTGTATAACATCCCGTTAAAAGGGAATAGAGTCGAATTTAGGCAGTTTTAAGGATCTCATGATTAGACTGATGTTCAACGGACATCTGTCAAAAAGAGTATTGTCGTTCTCTAGTAAACCACTAATGAATTCTAAGCATTTATCAATGGGAATACTGGTGTATAAAGAAACGACATCAAAGCTTACCATGACCTTATTATTCTCGATAACTGATTACGATAATTTTGATTTAAAGTCATATGTATCTTTAATCATATTATGTAAGTTAAGCTGTAGTGGTTTTAATATGTTGCTTAGATATTTCGATAACGCATATGTTGGTGTGTTGGTAAAGTCTACTATCGGTCTTAGAGGGATATCTGGTTTATGTATTCTCAGTAAACCAAATTTTGAATTTTCAAAAAGAACAAAGTTATAACTTTCATTTAGGCCTATGAATCATGTTTATTATCACAAACCTTAACATTTGAACACTCAGTAAAACAAATCACTTAATAAGAAGCTGGCTGACGTTGGTTTTTTAAAGTTAATTATCAATGAACTACTTAATTTCATTTAAGTATGTTTAAAGGCAAAAGTTATATTTATATTTCAGTTGAATAATTTATTTGTGAAGTTTTTACTGTCGTGACGTCACCCAACAATAAATTTACTCATCATTTTACAATGCTAATAACAACGGAACGGATGGTGGCTAGTAGTGGAATACAGCATGCGCGTTTCGCCCTGTTTGGGACTCACCAGCTGGATGCACCTGTATCCCAGAGTTGATGTTCATTCCAGGACTTGAAAGAAGTACCGTTTGCTTAAATGCCATCGCGCTGTCAACTTAGATACTGAGTCCGGAAAGCCACTGGTTTATGAAATGGAGTGAAATTTAATTTATTTGTACTGGCTGTTTGAATCTTGATGTTTAGGATTGCAATTGATAAGTCTCTGCTTGTCACTGCCCATCATGGTTTATAATGCTTGTAACTTACACCAATATCGAGGCAATCCGCACAGGATGCACATATCTCAATGAGAGACTGATCAGTTGCAGTCTTAAACATCAATGGGAAGATTCAAACAGTCAATACAAAAAAATAACTAACAGGAAAACACTTCTATTTAATTAATCGAAGATAGGTGAATTTTATCAAGAGAAAAACAAAACAAACAATCACAAATTGAATAGTTATCTTTTATCTAATAAATGTATATCCTCAATGACTTTAAAAACAATAATTGTGACTGACTTAAGAATGAATTAAATTGTATCTTTTTTAAAAATATGATCATCGTATAATGGTCATCTATTATATCAAATAACTTTATTATATTAAGTATGATGAACAGTACTACTGTAGTAAACAAAAACTGAGGCGGGGAAAACCAATTTTTTGTTTCATGAGAACTGAACACATTAAATACAGTATTTGCACATCTTTCTTTAGTTACCCTTCAAACACTTCATGATCCTACCAATTCTGTTGTTACTACAGTTGCTCTCTGTTTCTCCTCCCAATCTCTTAGATTCGATATTCTGCTGACAGACATTCCACCTACGACTGCTGCTACACACTGCTTATATCTGTCAGAGTATGTAGCGGACACTACACTATTAATAAACATAGACCATATTTTAGATCATCAAAAGACTTACCGTTTCTTGGTGTTGGTTTTGAAGAGGAACAGATGACTGTTGATTGTGTTGGCGTCGTTGACTGATTCGTGTAGCTCCTCCAGTAACACTATTTACTGGGCTAGTTATTTTAAATGATTTAGGTCGAAGAGGTTTATCTAAATGATTAGATGTTATATTAGTTGGGTTCCTTTGAGATGATGTCTGAAAACAAGAAGAAAAGAAACAAACTTAAGAAAAGATTACGAAAAAAGTCAAACAGATTCTTGTAAAATAGAAACACCTTTGTTCCTTCTTAGACAAAACGTACATCTTGGGTTGAATAGACGTACGTGAAAATAATTATAGGAAATACATAGATATATGTTGCTTTATAATCTTCCGTTTTGTTCTTGATCAATCATTAGTTATTAAAATAACTTGTACTACCCATAATAAACATTTAGTGTAAAAAAGTGTTAATTTCCTAAAATGTATGTACACAATCATTTGGATAGTAATTGTATTTCCTGTTTAGTTGGTACCATGAACTAATCACCAGTTCGGGAAGCTTCAGTTATTCCATCTAACAGATAAGTTAGACCAATATATGAATTTAAGGACGGGTATCAAATCTTATTCAAAATAAATTGAATGTAGTTGAGATCGTAACAGAAAATAACCGGGAAATTCGTTGTTTGTGTGTGTAAAACATTTAAACTATGAAAATTTACCCTAGATATAATAAACTGACTTAATTTGTACAGGTATGTGGATTAGAAATTTTACGTTTTCAACTACACAACGTTGAGATCTCTAAGCTGTTTCACACGAAGTTAATATTGCTCACTTTACAAATATAGGTTTCGTATACTCGGTTTTGAGCCGCATATTTTTATCCTGAGGGTTGATGATACAATGCAGCTATTTGAATGAAAGTAGGTTGAGCAGGGTTCGAATATATGGCTTATTAGTTGAAAGCTCAGCTACGGCTCAACATGTTAAACAATTTAAGTTGATTTCATTTGATATGAGTAACTCAAAAACGCTTCGTACGCTATACAGAAGAATGTAGTCTGGTCTAATCGAATAAATTTTGGTTTCTTAGTTCTGAGTTCAAACAGAGTATTTTAGGTTTTCTGATATCTTTTAGGAATTTAATATCTATTCACAAAAAGTATATTAATCTCTTGAATTGAACTACACCAGAGATATGAAAATCCTTATGTTTACAGCTTCGATACATTTAATACCATTTTTATTTTGATAACAGTATATCATAGAGGTCTGAAGTATGCGAAGACATTTCAGTTCTTGATCCAGTATGTCCAATTAATATTTGAACTTATCGTGTGTTATAAGCGCTCAGTACCAATATATGTTTATGTTTAATGATACTACAATGGACATTGGAAATTTATATTACATATTCTTTCTATGTACTGAGCTAAGTAAATTTAAAGAAATTATTTTGCTTGTAAATTCGTATAAACCAGATTCATAAAAGAAGCATTAGTAAATTAGAATTTGTTTTAACAATAACACATATTTGGCGCTTTATAAATTCAAATTTCTGTCGTTCTCTACACATTTCTACAGTAAACAGTTATATAATTAATTGAATAAAGTCTTGAAATTCATCAAGTGCTTTCTTAATGGAACGATTGTCTAGATGTTCATTTTTGTGAATTGCATTTTAACATGAGTCTCAAGGAACATCATTAATCTGCATTCATTGGGGAAAATCTCAATTTTGTGAATCTATACATGGTCTATATATGTACTTTTGACAGTCAGATAATTTATCCAATTGTCGATACATACATGTACATAAATAAAGCAACAAATACTTCAAAACTAAAAATAACAAGGCTCGTAGATAACTACAATATATAAATTAGGTAAATATTTAAGAAATTGAATTATCAGTTATCGAAAAATAGCACGAAGGTTTATTTGAACAACAGTTCTTAAATGGAGAAAGGGAAACTACTTAACGAATGACAAATATTGTATCATGATCGTAATACAATGGAGAATTGTAGCTGAGGTAGATGACTTGGGTGGAGTTTGTTCTCTGCGAGTCATATGTGGAGAAATTTGATCACTTCACTACTACCTGAAAATGCCACTGATGATGTCTTTCAGAAGAACGATGAAAGATCCACGACCAAAACATTCATCTCAGAGAACAAAACTCCACCTAAATGATCTTGTTACGCCCGACACTCTGAAATCTCGAAGAATAATCGAGTCATATATAAACACTAACTAAACGTTTTAGTATCAAAATAATCAGTATTAGTTACTAGTAATTACCTCATTACAACTCTGTTTCGAATGACTAGATAAACGAATGACATTAGTAGAGTTTTCCATATCTGTTGTTAACTTCTTTGCTTTGCCACTAGTATTAATTGATGTGTGAGATGATAGAACGTTATTCGATTCACGGTTTTGGTTAGTACTGCTACGATAGCTTGAACGTGTTATTTTACTGTCACTTAATATTCCGCTACTTGCAGAGCCAGTGATTTTTGCACCAGGAGGGATTTGAGCATAAGATTTTGATTGATTTCCAGTTGTATTAACTGAATCTATAGGATTTCCAGACAATAAACTAGTTGAACTATCTGGTTTGAATGAAGATGATGAAATTTGAATTGAATTGACTTGAGGTAGAGGATTACTTCGCCTACTATGTGTTCTGGATAGAAAAAAGTTTAGATGACTGACGTAGATTTTAAGCAAAATTTTGAATAACTAAAGTTAATAAAAAAGTATTCAGTGACAACCAGAAGTGACGTGAAAGGAAAATTATTTGAAAAGCCCCAAATCAATAACTTATGTTGAAAATCACGATATATCATAAGACAATGGTTATGTTTCGTCATAATATATGATTATTTCAGTGTTTAGAATGGAAATTAAGGGAAACAACGTGTCACCGATAAATCAGTAAATAACACTGTCGATTTTCGTTTACATACATAAGGAATATATTAGAAAATAGAAGATTTTTCTGCAATTTTTTCATTTATTTGTATTTCTACTCAAAATGTAAGACAAATATTTAAGTTAGGGGTTCAGTGAACAGCTTACATGATCAGATAAATTTCAAGTCATTTATTTGGAATGATAAAAAGGGATTCTTTCAAATGTGAACTGCACTACAAATACTGTTAACAGAAATTTTATAAAGAGATAATTAAGCGAATTAGATAAAATGATCAGTGAATTATATCATTTAGATTAAACCTTGAAAGAGGTTGTTCACTAGCGATATTTGAACTTCAGTAAACTAAGGGAAAGAATGATATACTTGACTCATTTATTTGTTAGTGAACACATTATCAAAGGATTTAAAACAAACCTGTCTGTACAGTCGTATATTTGTATCAAAATCGGGGATTGTGGAGATTGAGGCAATTTTAATAGTTGAATTTATGAGCCGTTTCGTCCTAGTATGGGACTCCTCTTTTTTTACATATTTTTGCACCTCTATTGCCTTTGATTATTGTAACAAAAATATTCTAACCATCTTACTGAATTCACATGATAATTCGTTACTAACTTGTTAAGTCTATTGTTATTGTTTAAATTACGGAATCTAGTATTATAATCCTTCGGTTGCATTATCATGGCCATTCCTTGTTTATACATCCTCACGGAACTAGTACTTTAACATTTATAAAAGCTTGGTTGTCCATTTTTATTGTTCCATATTATTCATTTCTGTCGTTTTAGTTAAGGTAAGCTTTTTTTCAGATCAGTCTAATTAAAAGCTTAACCAAATCCAAACAGTTACATAATACAATAAGAAAACAGTTTAAAATGGGTACAGAGATGAGGGGATATATAGATTATTCATGAATTGTCATTTAATGAGTGTATATTAGGTAATATGTACTAAATTATATTCCAATTATCATCTATAGAAGAATACAGTATGCTATTAGCAGGATAAAATCGATACTGGAATATATGTATGACAACTGTACACTAGTATTTTGAAGTGTGCATTTATAAAATAACGAATTGGAATAATATCAGTAATATGTAAAAAATAGCCTGTGGAGAATGGAAAATGATTTATTATGATATAAATTGACATCAATCAATTGAATAATATCTACTTGAAGCGATTTGGTAAACATCAATAATTTGTTTACAATGTTGGTCTAACACTGATCCATTCGTGATATCGATTTAGACTCAACAATCTCCACAACCCTATACTAATAATTTGTTGATTTGAAGTGACATATTGAACATTGAAAAAATTATGTGAGATAGTAAGTCAACATTTACAACACTGAAATGTGTTGAGTAGCGAATGAGTATGAAGTTTTAAGAAACTCTATTAAATATCTTATTACATTATTTACAATTGAAAAGTAAGACTGTTCATTCATGATAACGATTATAGGCCTGTGTACAGCTTTATTGAATAGACAAACTGAACTTCACAGGTGACAAGAATTGACAACAACTACAACATAGGAATTTTCATCACAAATTTTATGAATGTAGATGAACTGAAAACGGAGTGTTCATTTTGATCCAAATTTATGAATTTACAGAAGTGAATATCTCTAAGCCTTTACAAATTTTAAATAAATATTTCGACAACTAAGGACTTAGTCATATATTACAGTTGGAGAACAAGATGATATTGAAATGAATAAATCAGTTAATCACCATGAATCTAAGTAAGTTTTGAATTAAGTCAATTTAAATGTCCAATGAGATGCAGTATAATTGGTAAAATTAAACAATTATTTATCCGAGGACAGATTACTTACAAACTACCATTATGTATTAGTCTAGTCAATAGGCCCACAAAATGAACTTAATGAAAATGGCTACGTATAACTATTTTGGCGTAGACATATTCATTAATTTCTTACGCTTATGTTTCAATAATAGACAACAATATTGTCGATAGGGAAGGCTGACCTTTGTTAAGCAACTAATGAGAACCAGAAAACATTGGATAGCAGTTTCGTCCTGGTATGAGACTTCTTAGGAGTGGGAATTCACGATCCTATCAGAGATGGAACGTGGGTCCTCTAGGCTCCATGCAAGGGTTTAACCGTTAGACCAATGTTTTGGACCCAACGGTTTGCATGTCTAGCTCCAATGGATCCGCAATATTGCATAACCATCTTTCAATTGCAGTGATAAGTAACCATCTCATACTCGACAAAGTTGGATAACATAGGTCGCAGCTTCCCATTATGACTCCAGGAACTACTACTTCGAAATTAAACAGCAGTGAGCATGTAGCAATTATTAACATATAAGGAATTTGAGTAGATTATTCAACTTCTTGGGAATAATATGAATATTAGTTGTTATAAACTATTTTAAGATTCCAGTAAATAAACACATATCTCGATCTCGACCGTTTTTGTTATCTCTAAAGTATATAAACGTGACAGGAAAAACTCATACATTAAATAAAATCTCACCTTGAAAAACTACGATCAAAGGCCCTGGAGCTACGCCTTAATTCCATTAGTGTAGATAAAGTACGACCGACTCCACCAACTGGACCATTAGGAGTGGCAGTTGAAAGACTACTTCGTCTAGTGATTGAAAAATAACGTTGGAAACCGCTAGCAATTCTTGACATAGCTGCGTAAAGCGCTGTTGCTGATATAGTTGATGCTTGTTGATTTAAACCAGTAGTAAATTTACGTTGCGTTGTCGAATTTGGTTCACGAACACGAAAAAATGCATGACAACTAACTGCATATTGCCAAAATAATTTAGTACTTACAGCTGATGGAAAACGATAATGTTGTTTTAATTCACTTCCAAAATTTATGATTGGACTAGTTAATCCACTAATAGAAGTAACATGACCATTCATTGATTTCTGAAAATGAAATCATAAAATTGCATATAAAGTTTATTATTATTTCTGAATGGCGATTCCTTACGAATGTCATTAATAAAGTTAAATGAGAAGGCATAGTTTAGTACAAAGTTTTTTTTATGGAGAAATGGTACCTAAAGGACAAAAAAGAAGGAAAATAATAAGAACATCTGCGGAGGTCTTACTCTATAGAAGTATGTGACCTTTCTACGAAAAAGTCTATTGGTACATAAATTCTTAAATATAAATAACAAGTTACTTATCATAAATTTAAAATAAGAAAACTTATTTAGTTATCTATAGTTAAAAAATGGGTTTAGATAGTTATGTCAATGTAAAATGACTTAATTTTTCTAGCTAATTGAATTACGTAGAATTATGCGTTTTCAGTTTATTTTATTCATTCATTATTTGTAAAGTTTGCATATCTTATGTCTAATTCTTCTGCTTACAGTGAATTATAATTCAACCTACCGTAGTAGATTGTTTCCAATGAAGTCATTATATGACTTGGTAAATAAATACTGAGTAACTTTAAGGTCTGTGAAATGGTGATACAAGAAGTATAATCTACAATGAAGTGAAAAACCAATTCAATTTATAAATATAATAGCACAATTATCGATTAGAGAATTTTTCTTAAATATGAAAAGTAACAGTGAATACATAACAAAGAATAATAAATCGAATGCACAAAATAACAAACGTGTATGACAATTTATACCACGTTTTCAGATAATTAACGTTGATTAATGTTCAGATAAAATTGTCAACCTGATGTGACTGGTAGAAAAGTTGGCGAAACTCTAATTTATGGATGACCTTTGAACGAATCTTAAGCGACCCTGAGAAATATTAGCCAATCAGCAAACAGTCAGTATAAAGTAAAAATATGTTATACAAAACCAAGGAAATAAAGTAGAAACACTTCTTATACATGGTTCAAAAACTTGTCAAGGTTAGTAAGAGGTCCAGAGGTTTCAAAATCGTAATGAATGCAGTAGAGGAAATCATCCATACGGTTACAGAATAGTTGGCCTCTGGAGCCATGATAAATTCTCAAAAACTCTTTCAGCTTCGACCACATAGCTTCAATATTGTTTATGTGCACTCCGGTTATTGAGTGCACTAAATGCTACTTGTAGACAACGACACGCCACACATAACCAAGCCTATGTAGGAGTTTGTACACTCTGCCAACATCCGTATATATTGTAGTACCTGGCTACAGCCAGTGTTACTGGTGCTTTTATTATCTAGTTCGCAATAATTGTCGTAATTTGCCTTAGTTAGGAATTATATATGGGATTTTCATCACGAACTGACATCAGCTATAATGCCAGAAATTTATTTAGCCAAATGGATGAAAGGCTTTCGCGTTAAAATCCGATATCTATTATCTTATACCTGATTGATTCGTCCATAGATTATAGTCCCACAGTTTTATTTGTTATAGCGGCTCAATTATCACGTTTTGTACAAAATTCTCTGTGAACCGATCGTACGTTAGTATTACGCACTGAAGTTCGCACCGTAACCGTAACGCCTCTGACTGGCTCGTCCATAAAGTAGTCTCGCCGAAAAGTCAAAATTAGATTGATTTACTCATTATGATTTTTATTCAACATTACTTTCGTTTTAATTCAATGTGATGATTACTCACTGTAGTATCTGTTTGTGTTTCCCCGTATGACATTTTATTCTCTCTAACATACGGTATTCTTGTATTCAATTGACATGACCTATGCTCAGCATGTGATTTGTTATAACTTTTAGTATTTTTGATGTATGTGACTTTATTCTAATTATTAATCAAAAATGTGTGTATGAATCAATACATTAATGTGTGTATTTCCGACTAGACTTGCCGTGGTTGTTCGTGCTTCTAGCTGCTTGTGGAATATATTCCCTTCTTCCGAAATTGGACTTCTCTCTCTCTCTAATTATCAAGGGATGGGACACGTCGCAATAGCTAGTTAATTGGTCTTTGTGTCACAGAGTCTTCGTTCTGTTCTCAGATTAGGTGAACTCGTAATTTCTTCAAACATAGCACAACCTTAAGGAGTAGGATCAATAGAACAATCAGCATCATCCACGCGAAGCATGATGGGAATACGTCAAAAGTTGTGAATTCATCAAAATAGTGTATGTGACAGACGTGAGACAGTAGAAACTATCAATAAAGATCATCTTACGACAAATTTTTGATAAAAGGTTTTCTGACGCAAAAGTGATTAAATACTATCGAATATGGATAGTGTTATTTAAAGATTGATACAGTATCCACAAGAATAATAAACAAAACTAAGCAAAACATATAAATTTATGACTCACTGAACTCGTTTTAAAATGTATTGTGAATCGTTTTCCCTTGAAATTGATTTTCGAAATGTTATCCCTAAAGAGTTAAATACAACATGTTTGAATTAGACATTTATCCATTTAGTAAAAAGCTGTAAGAAGTAAAGTTGTGATTCAGATGACTTTTGAGCCAATGATTATTGATACTATTCACTTATGCATCATTTTCACAAAGCCGGTGAGAATGTTTGCTAGTATGTACAAACCATGACACACAAAATAATATCCCTCTAAAACTAAACGTCCTAGAATCTGTCAACAGTCATTCATAATACATAGAACACATGACTTTTGAGAGGTTTAACTGCGTTAAGTACATAAGACGAAAAAGGTTGACATATTTCTCTTCCAACAGGCTTTTCGGAATAGTAGTGATGTGATATGCTATGAACTTGGTAATTTGAAGTTGTTATTTTATGCTACTGATTAAGTGCCAGTAGTATAATGCAATTTATTAAACTTCGTCATTTGGGAGAGTATTATTCGTGTTAGTGCTATTGGATGACAATTCGAAAGTCACCACGAAACTAAACTATAACTTTATGATTTGAAACCGAATGATCTGGCAGCCATTATTCAAAATTTGACCACCGGAAACGCTATAGCGCATAGATCAAAATTATTGTGCATCAAGAAGATCCGACATAAATGACCGAAGAATCTACAAATAATTACAAGTGGCTTTGGTGAACTGTAATTCAGAAACGACTAAATAATCTACAAGCCGAACAATTGATCCTTAATCACAAGACTTTAAGACTTTTAAGTCAAGCAAGCAGTATATTGCTGATGTCAAGTTTCAGCACTTTGGGAATCCAAACCATGTATCTGCTTATCTTCTTCACAGCATCACATAGGTTGTATAAAGTAAAAGGATATCTATTATAAACTATAAATATGTAACCATATTGGTGAATGTTACCCTGGAGGATTTTTGGAAAAAAACCATATCTCAACTGTTAATGCAAACAGATAGGTACGAGGAAAGTTGAACTGCTGCATTGAATATATCATACATAACGTCATTATATTATTAAAAAAAAAGATCTTTAAATAACAAAAACGAGATAAGCTTTTTTCATTATTAAATAGTATGTAATCTCATTCGTGCAAGCGTGCAATTGTATAAGACCGATGAATATGTTTATTATAAAACAAAACACAAGTGGAAGTAATGACTCAAGGGAAAAATTCAATTTAACCGTTCATACAAGTGATAAGAAATCGGTTAAAATTAACTGGAAGTATTAACAATAAAAGCTTACCAAGAATATTGTTGTAGCATTTTATTATCACGAAATAAACTTATTCCAACAAAAGATACTCCAATAGTGATTATCTGGAGGTTATGTTGCTCATCCTCGTATAGAGAAATTAAAAATCAGAAAAAGACAAAAGAAATAGACACTTCGTAGGAATATTATATTTATTATAGTCGATCAGATAACTCTACTGTGTATTTGACTCCTTAAAATGAATGATTTCGCATTATTGAGGAGACCAGTAATATGAAGAAACAGCTGCTCAAGGTTTCCTGCTTTTAATTGTTTTATTACTGAAGTCAGCCTATAACTCGTCACACAAACACTAGAAATTATCATGTGAATACTAGTAACCAATCCAAGCCATGATCAATGCATCTCACTTATCTTGGGTGTGAAGCAGACGTCGTCATTAGCAATGGATGATGATAGAGGATATCAAAAAATGACTAAAATTAGAAAGGTAAACAATTAAAAGCCACCTCTGCTCTGTAAATTAAGCTTTCGCTTCGATCTCTGGAGCTTTTGGGTGCTGTAACTTATGGAGTCTGAGAGTTTATGCTACGATGAAGTATTATGTTGGAAGTTTCACTCATTTTTCTGAAAAACCTTTTTATTATGGATTAATATCAGTTGTAGCTATTAAAGTTCAACGTACTAGATATGCAGTAGTAATCACCCGTAAAATTTCATGATTATCACAGAATATCACGAATTCGCTTAATTCGAAACTGTGTACCAAGTGGATTTCAACTTCATGATCTACATGAATCATGCCTAATTCTGACGATTCAAAGTTTAGTGTTAAAGTGTTCTATGATTAACAAACCATAAAAGTGATCATATATTTATTAGCTTTGTTATCACCTAATATTTAAAGTTTACTAAGCCTTTTTACATAAGAATATCTGACTACTTAGTAATTTTAAAGTATGTTTTCATTTAGCTATGTAAAATATCATATTTAACTTATCTTTGGACCATTTAGATAGATATCACGCAATAATGTCTGCTAATGCATTAGTTTTCATGATTCAATACTGAAAAACAGTTTGCTATCTGTTTTGCACTGATGTAAGAGAAATACAGTGCTGAATTTATTGAAGATGATTATCTTCTTTACGTTAAATAAAAATCATAAGATTTGATTCACACTGACACTCAAAAGATTTAGTGTCGTCCAATACAAAAGAGTACAGTGTTCACTGTATTATCTCCGTCTTAAATAGCATTTGTTTTAAACGTTTGAAAATAAAAGCTATCTATCAAGTAGCATGAGAGTTATTTAAAAAGAAATTATTATCTTTAATTTGAATATAAGTAGGTTATTTATTTATCTTATAAATGTTACCAATTTCACTACTCTTTCATTATGTCAATTTCGAGGTCATAAACAAAATATTATGTGGTTCGATATTGAGAAACCGATTGTTACTGTTAAACAATCGGTTTAAAGAACTTTCAAAAATGGATCACTATACATTCTATTAGATAGATTTATGATAACATTCCAATAAAAACTTAAGTTACTACACAACTTAAAAGTATTGTAAGATGTATGCAAATATATTTTCATTTGAATTAAGTATGAAAGGTTCAGTCATTTGAAACAGTTTTTTCTAACAGTTAAACAATAAATCTCATTAGAAACAAGATAATATGGATGAAAATGACAAAAGATATTAAAAATGAAATTTCTATTAAATTTGTGTTCACTGTAAACATTTTTTAAGAGTATATACTGCTATGTATAACGTAGTTTTGGTTTTAATCAAATGATCTGGTTCTTCTATTGCACACGCAACAACAAATGCAGGGGAAGACGACCAGTGTAGCAACAGTCTCACCAGCAGTAGGTCTCAATATACACAAAGGGAAAAGTAAGATTCTCCGATACAACACAGCATGCACCAATCCAATCACAATTGACGGAGACGACTCGAAAGATGTAAAAAACCTTTACATATTTGGGCAGCATCATTGATGAAAATGGTGGGTCTGATGCAGATGTGAAAGCACGGAACAATAAAGCAAGAGCAGCATATTAACAAATGTAGAACATCTGGAACTCAAAACAACTGTCAACCAACACCAAGGTCAGAATTTTCAATACAAATGTCAAGACAGTTCTACTGTATGGAGCGGAAACTTGGAGAACTACGAAAGCCATGATCCAGGAGATACAGGTGTTTATTAACAGTTGTCTACGTAAAATACTTCGGATCCGTTGGCCGGACACTATTAGCAACAACCTACTCTGGGAGAGAACAAACCAGATCCCAGTGGAGGAAAAAATCAGAATGAAGCGCTGGAAGTGGATAGGACACATATTGAGGAAAGCACCGAACTGTTTCACAAGACAAGCCCTCACTTGGAGTCCTCAAGGTCGAAGGAAAAGAGGAAGACCAAAAACACTTTACACCGGGAAATGGAGATAGACATGAGAAAAATGAACAAGAATTGGATGGAACTATAAAAGAAGGCCCAGGACAGAGTAGGATGGTTAATGCTGGTCGGTGGGCTATGCTCCATTGGGAGTAACAGGCGTAAGTAAGTAAGACTTTTTCCCGAATAAATCTATGAAAGTAAGTTAGTGAGGTCACATAAAATTCTACGATAAACTTTTAAAATAACATCGTCACGGATAGATTTTAGTTAGACAACCACTGAAAACCAGAAAGCAATGGACAACTATTTAAGTCTAGTCTAGAACTAATCAGAAACACATATACACAAATCCACCAGAGATCATATCCGGTGAGTGCTTAAATTTTATAATTTCTATCTGGAATTCATCTATTCATATGTCTCAAGTAGCAATACTTATCTGATAGTTTATATTTGAAAGGCATTCATGTTCTTTATGTAATTCGTAGACTTGATTTCAATTTCCAATTTTTAATGTTAATCAAACTGATCAATCAAACAAAACGATCCGACCCAACAGAAATTGTTGTTATCGTTACAATTTTGTTTTAAGAATAAAAAAACTATAAGTAAGTAATTATATACAAAATTTCTAATGATCTTTTTGATAATATGAAAATGTTTTATTCATGTCATAATCAAACGACAGAATAATAGAAATAAGATACATCAGATTTTATCCAAAAAAGAAATTATTCTTTATAACAATCTGTTCATCACAATTTGAAGTAACTTTTTTCACAAAGCAAAACAGAAGGAAAACAAAATCGACTAGAAGAAGTGAATACCGAATATTGAGCTAATGAAATACTAACTGACAATAAGTAAACAAAAAAGACAATATGTTGTTTTGTAATCTATGATATTAAGTTAACAAATGTCAGAATAGTTATAAAAAAAAAGATTTTGTTTCAATGATCAATGAATCGATAAATATAGTTTGCAATAATTATAGTTTAATAGTTGAGATCAATAGACAATTGAAGCTAGACCACCATGGAAAACCTAAAAGCACTGGACAGCCGTTCCGTCCTAAGGTAGGACTCCTCAGCAGTGTGCATTCACGATCCCGTCTTGCAAGATTCGAACCCAGGATCTATCAGTCTTGCGCGCGAGCGCTTAATCTATAGACCACTGAACTGGCATCCAACGGTGTTAATGTTTAACTTAAAATAATCCACGAAATTGAGCGACCCATCCAACATCGTCTTCAGTGAGTTACTAGGTGAGTTCCAGGTTCTCCATGGTGGTCCAGCTTCAATTGACTCATGATCTCAACTAATAAAATTACTATAATATCCACAAAACCCTTCTGAAATTATAGTTTAGTATATCACTTATTTAAGCTGTCTTTTTTTCTTGAAATTTTCAATGAAAATTTCACCATAAGAGTGTTTATAATTTACATGACCAGTAATATTAGTCACAAAAACCAACTTTGTTATGTAGTGACAGTGGCGAGACTATAATATATAGACGAACCAATCAGATATAAGACAATCGGTTTTGAATTTCGGCGCGAAATTTATTCAACCATTTGGTTGAATAGCGTCTTGGCATATTAGCTGATGTCATAAAATGATGAGAATTCTAAATTTAGTTCCTAACCCCAACTATCAATTGGAAGACCTAGATAACGATTAAGTAACTGTTTAATACTTATTTCTTTTTAATTATTTTTCTGTTCATACTAGTCCGTATGTATAAATATTTTTAAAGTAAACTAGTCTGATCTTATCACCTAAATAAACAATATCATTAGGCGTTAGGCAGGATATTAGTTTTGCTTAAAAAAAGAGCGGATTTTGATCATGGTTTGTGATTCGCTTGCTGTTTCAAATTTTGACTACCGATCAATCAAATGTTGGTGAATAATTTACAAATCTAAATGTTAATGGTAGTTTTACTCGATAAATACGTCATTTGGTGTTAATCACTAAAAGTGTACACATGTACAAATATAGATATTACAGGGAAAGACAAAGTTTTAATAAAAGTTTCCATTTATAATGAAATTCAATATTACTAACGTTTAGACTTTGAACTAAATCATAAACTTGAAGTTACTCACATCACGTAAATCATATATACTAAATAAAAGCAGTAATTTATTATTAATCTCTTATTTTCTGTTGAGAATCCTTTTTCCAAACGTATTTTCTAGCATCATCTTTGACGGTTGTGAAAAGTTGAACAGTTCGTCAACTCTTATCCTATAACCTTATCAGAATTTTCAAATGATTGGTGAAGTAAACAAACTGTCCGTTAAGCCACCTCAGGTACTTTGATTTACTTGTACCGTTATGATGAGACTATTCCAGATAAAAACTACTGTTTAGTAAGTTGATTTAATTACATATGCCTAAATCGATATTAGTCATGCTCAAGTGCTCCACATTATCAGTCACTTTTTCAGCTGTTGCCACCATGTTGGTTTTGTAAAATCACTTAAAACCAAGAATCATTTACAAAATATCTGAAATTTTCCGAACGGTAAGACATGAAGCCTAACTAAGCATATGAATATAAAGGAATGTGGCTATTCTGGTAAAAACCGTGGAATCGCAGGCTAATATACACTGTTACCCGATTCTGTATTCTTCACGAATAGTTGACTGACATATAACAAGAGCGGTACAGAAAAAGGTTCCTCTTTTCAGTTATGGCTATTTTCCGTTTTTATAATTGACATATGTTGGACAGATGTTGAAATAAATAAATAAATAAAACAAAACTGTCTTATTGGTTATTAGTTCAAACGGCACAGTGTCTATGTTAATATTACAAATCATGAGTTACAAGCCATTAGTCATAGAACACATGTAAGTAGAATAAAAAAAGGTTATGAGATCAGCTCAATTCTGACTAGTTTCAAAGTTCATAATGACATAGGCCATTAATAATATATTTACTATCAAAAGATAGACAAAATCAAACATAGTCTACAATTTGATAAACAGCGTTTTTAAATAGTAAATTCACATTACAAAAATGTATGATTGGAAAGCAATAGAGTTAAATGTGAGAGGAAAATTGCATACAGGATGATCATTTATACTGATGAATAAACAACGAAAGAATTAATGTCGTAAACTTTCTTTTTGTAAAACACGAAAGAATGTTTCAACGACTTATAGATTATATACAGAATGTTATCGGATGATGAATTATACTTCGTATTCATTCATGTAAGATTTCTGTTCACTTCTTCATGAAATGTAACACATCGCAGTTTAGAACGAATAGACAAGTCGTATTTCTTTTAGCCAGTGATGTGGAACGTAGAACCTGACAAATATGTACATCGGTCCAAGTTAACTTACCACATTAGCAGAGCCAGATTAAAATTATCAAGATAAAACCCAGAGTAATAGAAGTAGTTGTAAAAAAGGCATAGAAAAAGAGTATGAAGAGATTCCAGGACTCAGGTTCAAAGAGAAAATAATACGAAAGTACCTGTACCATTACAAAAGATTTTAAGCCATTTTACTTAAAGTCCTTAATCACTGGTTATCATGATCATAAAGACCCCAACCATACAGTATACGCCTATTTACATAACACATTCGAACTGTCGTTGAATTTATGGACTAGTGCCATGTCTTGAGTGAGGTGCTCATGGCTTTCTTCCAGACGGTTCTTACACCACAGAACACTGTCCATCGAAGTTGACAGTATTTAAACAAACGTAATGCCTTCAAACAAACATTTCTCTGAAATCACGACAAGATAACTATTAATACCTTGGCGGATTGAAGACACTCGCTCAATCTTACTGCATTTGAGTAAATACGATTACTAATCATTAAGCAATAGATAAGTATATAGAGTGTACTTTTTAGGTAATAAAAATGTTCACTTATTATTTTATGGTTTTTTTACAATAACGTTCGGTTTAGGCATATCTTAGAGATTATTGAAATGAAATGAATAAATATGAATGTAAGATGCCTACCATTACAAATTTCTTTTGGTGATAATAAAATATCACTGCTAACAATAGGGGAATATATCTTGAAGCACTCCGGTAATAGCCTTAATAGATGCTTATAGTAACTTTTTGGTGATGATGAAATACTAGCTGAAAAACAAGTCATTTGTTAATACAGCATTTACACATTTCCTCATCAACATATGATTCTGTACAAACCATTCATAATTTATATGTGAATCCCTCAACTCATAACGACTGAAAACTTATGAATATTTTTGGGTTAGAAATAAAAATTTCACAAGACCATTATTTACATTTTTGAGTGTAAATAATTCATAAGACATAACTAATTTAACTAAGCATTTACGCATAATGTACAGTAACAAAGATGTCATAAGTAAATGCAAACTGAATTAACTCACTTTAACCACATGACTTTTAACTCCATAATGATCCAGATAACGGACCACATTAAGGTATTCTAATTCAGCAGCTGCAGGTAAGAGGGTACTGTTTAGAAAACAAATTACAGAGACAAAACCATGATGATAAATAGAATGAGTAAATATGACATTTGGCATAAACAATCGCTTTCATCTAAACATCCAAGATATATATTCAATTTGTCCCTAACTATCAAATGTCACTTTTAGTCAACTTATTAAAATATGAAAAAAAATCAATAATTTGGCAATCTCCAATTGTATAAAAAGAATAATAACTGTGGTTACAAAATACATTCAGTCATATTTTATAAGTGTATGCACATATGTGAGTTTATTATAATCAGAGGACATAAATACAAACAATCGTTAATAATATATTGATTAAATTCATAATACAAACAAAGGCAGAATACTGAGTGAGAAAAAAGTTATAGAACTAATAAGAAAAGCTCTATTTCCAAGATTAAAATTGTTTAGATACATTTTCATGTATACACAACTAAGTAAATTCAGATTTTGTCTAAATGAAATAAGAAAATTAACTGATTATTAAATAATAAATGGAAGATAGTATTCGTTATGGAATAATTAACACCAGTATTGGGTTGTGAAAGTTCTTGAGTTTTGATTGTGATCATAAATCAATCTAAGTTAGCCCACCATTGGACGGCCGTTCCGTCCTAGTATTGAACTCCTCAGTAGTGAGCATCCACGATCCCACACGTGTGATTCGAACTAAAGGCCTTCGGTACAGAGCGCGAACGCTTCACGCGGTGAGTAACTGCCTCACACTCGACACGGATTAGCCCCACCGGTCATGGCTTTTCACTAGAACTCATACAATTACCTCTTGACGCTAGTCAGTAGCGAGCACATGAAATATCAAATAATGTACCTTTGAAAAGTAATGAGCGTTGCAATTAGTTCTGCGCTAGATTTGATAAAGTTTTGATGAATAATATCGGAAGTAGAACCGTGATCTACAGAGTAGTGATTGTGTTATATCACGTATTGGTTTGAGTTAGCGATGTTGATCATTTGAATCTCAACTCCATAATATTAATAATGTAAAGCTGATTTTCGAACTTGAAATGTCTTGATACCATAGAGTGCGAATTGATAAATAGTATTAGACTAAGACAAACTGGTTATTTATGAATTCTCATGTTTTCAGTATTTCTTAAACAAATTTCGGTCAGCTACAAAAATTCTATTCAATGAGCAGTAAATAAAATTCCGTTTTGTAATTGATTAGGAGAGTAGTATATATATATATGAGATTGAGTATTTGTACATTTTATTCGGTAGTCCAATACACGTCATCACTCACACTTGTGTTTTCGCTCAGGTAGTCAGTTTGGCGATTAGCGCACAGCATACCGTGTATCAATATCAGATTTCGGATACCGCACGTCACAACAATAATGTAAGACAAAATAAATGGTCGAGAAAATTTTCTGTTTGATAAATTACTGTTGAATTAGGTCAAATATCCAGACAAATTATGAATTACTCTTTTGAATAGAATGAAAATATGTTAAACAATTATCCATTATACTATAATTTACAATAATGTTTGATTGTAACTATTTCCACTGTTCATCAGGAGTTCACATTTCTGTTGAATTGAGAAAATTTATATTGTCTACAACTGATATCTTTTACCAAGTATCATTTCTTGGTTCTATTTTTAAAAAAATGTATTTTATAACGTTTTACAATATTGATTTAATAATGTATTTAAGCATGTGTGTATGACAAGTGATCTCACATAATGATATCTACATTATTTTCAGTAAAATTAATTTTGTGAAATTATTTGAAATGATGTAAACACCAGGACTATAAAAAAAGGACAGAAGACATTGAACAATTGTTTAAATCTCCCGGATACTGTGGATATGATTCAAACCGAGGATTTTTTCGTGCTGCTACTCACTGTGGTCAATGAGGCGGGACTTAGCGGTCAACATAAATAACTTTAATCAATTTCTGATATAATTTCATAGTCATTCAACTGATGGAAGTTACATTGGAATTATACAAATTTTTGATTTTTTTAAAAACTACTGTAATAAACAAGCATAAATAACGTAATTTGAAATAGAATAAAATTGTAATGATTACAGATGCATACAATCAACTACAATTTCAGTTAATTATACCATATGTGAGAAGTTGAATGTTAAAAAGTTACGTTTAAAAGTGAATGTACAATTGTTGTATAATATTTCTAATGTTTTTTTGGAGAAATTCAACTAGACTACCCATAGAAATATAGGTAATTCTAAGAAGTAGAACGAACAATCTACAAAACGTATGTTCAGTGATTTGAATTTTAAACAATTTATCTGATAAACAAAAGTTGGGAACATTATATTACGCTTGACTATGAAGTATAGCAGACTGTTAAAATATGCATAGTTTTTTTCCTAACGGATAGTAAAATTTTCAGTATGTTTGAAAGCTCAAAAAATAATCGTGATATAATTCTAGCCAAAACCATGTCTATAGGATATCGTCTATATACTAAATGTCATCCAGTTCGCTGGTGAATTGTTAGACTCAATTGTTTATATACAAGATATTGTGGATATTCTAGAATTTGGAGTTCTACATCAGTGGTTGACTTTAAATAGACGATGATTGGAAACCAGAAAGGACTGTCACCTATTTCACCCTAGTATGGAACTCTTCAGCACTGAACACTCAGAACAGGAAGAAGGACCGAACCTGGGATCGTCAGGTCTCGAAGCAAATACTTATGCTTCAGACCACGGTCTTACCAAAGTCATTGTGATGTTCATCGTGGCGATTTGATTTTTAAACAAAGACAATATCATTCGTAATATATTCAGTTTTATATGGTGATAACTTATGATTGAAAATTATTATCAAGTGGTAAATTTGTAATTTTAATCCAAGTACTAGGTACATGACTTCGAGCTTTACTTTATAAGTGGCCATCGATGACACTATTTTGTAACCTAAACCAAAGTAGGTGGAGTGAACTCCAAATCTGTGGCTTTGTAATTGAAACACGAATACCTTAAACACCAATCGAAGAAACCAAAAAATATTTTTGTAGATTTTACCGAGTTATTTATTTATGTGAATTGTTGGGATTTCCTCACTGGTGTTTAAGACTGCGACTTATGTCTCCTTTTGGCATATCTGCTTCCAGTACGAATTGCCTCAACATTATCATTAGGTCACAAGCATTGTAAGCAAAGTTGAGTGATGGCTGGGATGCTTGTGACTTACTGCCAATAAAAATGCAATCCACATAAGATGCCTATATGTTAAAATAGACTGATCAACTTCAGTCTTAAAGATTGGTGGAAAGATTCAAACAACCAATACAAATGAATTGAAATTCACCCCATTACACAAGCTCGTGGTTATTTGGACCCGGCAACTAAGTGGAAAACAAACTGAGGTCTGAAGCAAACCGTACTAGAATTGAGTCCCGTAGAGTACTTGAAATTTCGGGTGTGGGCATATCCAGCTGACGAGTACTAAAAAGGATGACGCGTGTTTCCTGTATTCCACTGCTAACCACCACTCAGTACTGCTTATTCTAAGCTATATTTCTTAAAACACCAAACTAGTTGAATTAAAGAGAGGACAGAGGTCAAGTTTTTATTTATGCTTTATGCTAATATCTTATTCATTTAAAATACATAAATTATTTTTAACCATTAGCTTGATTCAGTAAATGAATAAAAGAAGAATGGATTTTTCAATTCATGAATAGACTACTTAAACAGTGATTACATTTCATTTATATGATGGTTAATGTTTAACTAGAAAATAAACAGAGTTTAAATTGAGTAGCTAACTTAGTATTAATCTAATTAACTCTAATTAAAATTAGCTAATGAAGAAAAGCGATATTGTTCATTCTCTCAAAAATTTACAAATGTAAAACGCCAATGAATGTTTAAGATAAATATCATGTACAGTTATAAATTGGTTGACTAATGAAATATTCCATAGAAAACAAAATCGAACACACGATGATAGAGATTCAAGTCTACTGTTGAACGATCTTCAGATTTTAACCCATTTCAGTTATTTGGAAAGCAGAAAATATGAGTGTATGGACTATAGTGAAAAGTCAAAGTATTAACAAACAATATATTGTCTTTACATCATTTGAAATCTCAACAAAATATAATTTTATGCGAGATAACTTATATTCCTCTAAACTCATTCATAGTCAATTCATTCTATTATTCACAAGTCAATGTTATTCTTGTAAGTCTTATATCTTGTACGCACTTGAATTTAAACATAATAATCAACATCTTGGTTTGATATAGTATAATAAACCCCATTTTAGGTTATATGTGCCCCGTGATCTTGAAGTCGGTTCTTCTTTCTTAGTTAGTTTGGCAGTATACTTCAGCTTTACTACTCGACACTTATATAAACATGTTACTTTGATATATAAGAATAGATTATGTCAACAAATTATATAACTGCGAGAGAGAAATTAACAATGCTTCAACATGATAATTTAGTTATGTGTTTCGTAAAAAATGGATATAATTAGTTGGAAGACAACACACGCTCTTCACGAAAGAATTATCTAACATCTGGCAACTGGAAAAAATAAACGGAGACAAAATCTGATTTTTTTCTTAGTTATGTATCTACTGTTAAATTCTATTTCACTTATACATGTCTGATAATTATTTTTTTTAATCAAATATAGAAAGAAATGTAAAACTATTTGATGTTACAAACCTAGGAGTCTAGTCTACAACCAATAAATTTTCTCTAGAAACAATGATATGTCTTACATACAAAGTACTGTTTAAGGGACAAGACGAGTTTCTTAAAATATTTACTGAGTTTCATCTGGAGCATATCAGTGTCCACATTTAATGGTATTCCTTCTCATAATTATGAGAACAAAAGTCATAGTAATTTAGTAAACAGTTCTGGTGAGAAGCCGTAACTAGTGAAGTTTTGTTGTATACATCATGAAGTAAGTATATGACTACTATTCGTTATAGATAATACATTTTGATATTGATACTATTTTAACATAAGAACCGTTTTGCGTTTTATTAATTAACTTTATCATCTCCAATCGATTTTTCTAGAGTTATAGTTGAAATTAGTGGAATCAGTGGTTAAAGGATAATAATGATTATGTTTAACATTATTAGTTAATTCAACATTTAGGAAGCGTGATAAACCTCTTTTCATTTACAAATTACAAAATCTGCTGAATCGTTTTATTTTTTGCATTGAAATGTTGGTTATAGAATTTTGTATTAATTTATATGACATTAATTTGAACTTCAATAATTCACAGTATATCAGAATACTTATGTAACACATTTCTTTGTATCCAAATTTCACCTCTATTTATCCAATCAATCAATATAGTATGTATGATATCAATTTTATGATATTAGTTGACCTTAGAAAACTAAATTCAGTAATTTTGAAATCATTCTATATGAAAACAAATTAAACAATAAAATTAATTCACCTCACAAAAACAAAATATAAACATACAATGAATATAAAACGAAAAAAAAGAAGAAATCCTCGAAAAAAATGAGTAGAAATATATCAGGTTATCGATTATTTTCACTCATACTACTAATAATACTACTCATAGCATCATCGTTAACTATGAAAGCAAAATAACTTTCAAAATGTTGAGTAAATAATACATATTTACTATGGTTCATATGGTGAACAGACATCAGATATGTATATATATTTTAAGGAAGACGCCCAGAAATATATCTATCTGGTTCATGTTATTGGAAGTAAACATTTTATTTATGGGTGTGCATAATGTTTATTATTATCATTTGTTTTATTGTTGCTAGTGATAATTGAATTTACTTAAAAATAAACATATACTTACAAGTTAAAAAAAGGTAACATAATATACTATTCATAAGGGTGATATCAAAATAAACTAATACAAATACATAGTTTTAATTGAAAGTAGTTTATGTCAAAGGTTAATCTTACAAGTGGTATCAGTGAAACCAGGTAACATTGGACAACTAGGTACCATACTAGAACGAAACAAGTGTCCAATTGACTCTAGTTTTCATGATTCTACAGATGATGTTAATCCATAACAAAACCACTATTACGTTGATGATAGCAAACAAGAAAGATTTTGTATTGTAGACAAATTCACCATTATAACGCAGCACATGTATAAATATATAGATATATGTGTTTAGAGTAGAATTATAACGAAACTAATTTAATTAAAATGGTCATATGTACAATTGTATCTATGATGTGTGATGTATAGGTATTTATGTTTCAGAGGTTTCATCAATACATATACATACAACAACAATCTCAGATGATCTCATGATCACACTTTATTTTGAATGTAGTGTTCTGATAGAATAAATCAATTATATGAATTGTTCTAAGTAAAATATACAGAATCGTTTTCAAAATTTAGTGAAAATTTACCATAATCTTCAGAAAAATTCAAAGAAAAAAAGTTAAGTAGTTTATTATTTTACTACTAATACATCTTCTAGTGATCATAATGTAGTTCATGTGATTTGATATGTTTTATAAAGGATTTTTATTACTAAGAAAGTTAATGGAAAGACTTGGTTATAATAATGTAGATTTTATTGTTTAACTAAAGGGGGAACTTTGATAACTTGGTTATGGTTAATATGGAACACTGAAGTTGTGAGTATGACAGATGAAATCAATCTATGTTTAGTAGAAGCTTGAGTGAGTTACACTAATGTTGATTATCTTTGATATCGTGCGCAAATTTATTCGGCTTTAAAGCATTGATTGTACTTAGCTTCGATGTGAACAGCTTTACCATATGTTTGAAAAATTTAGCCTTTTAGACTGAGAAATGTTCAATAATTCGCTATATTCGATTACCGTTATTCCCATAGGTGTGTTCATATCCAATGGTTACACTATGTAAGTAATGTGCAGGTTCAAAATTGTACTTTGTAGCAAAGTAAAGGTAATAAGCCTGTGCTGTTTTCAATAAACACAAACTTCAATAGCTTAGGTGGGTTTTAAGAATACATGCCTGCAGTTCACAAACCTTATATTTACCAACTGTGGTAGTAAGTGAAAAGAACAGATTAAGGAGCAGTTCAAGACACGCCGTTGGTAAATCAAAAGCATTCATACTCCTAGCAAAACATAGAGGATATGGGTTTCATCTTTTGTGAAGGGGGGGGCACATTTGTCTAATGATGAGGGTTCCAAAAGTAGAACAAAATAGCTATATCATAGCCCCTTGATTGTCGATGTTTATTCAGCTGATGTGAAATAAAGATATCCAATTAGTAAGACATTTCAAGTTATTAAACTATGGGCTTGATGAGTTTCCCATAGAGATAAACCCCTGACTTCATTAGCTCATTTATATTTTATCTATACAAAAAAATTATGGAACTAAAGTAGGATAGACAATAAATACCTGAACGATACTTACAGTAATCATTGAAAGTATTTAGCCATCACAGTATCATCAGTAAAATTCACATTTATTTAAATAGAAACAACAAGGAACGAAAATGCTAAGATGATATCTCATCTTACGAATTAATAATTGAAATAACTACCTATTTGGCCTTAATATAAACACTAAAAAAATTCTCGAAAGGGTGTTAAGAAACCACTGATAATTAATTAAACAGCTCTTTATTGTTTTATGGTGACGTAGTTAAACTGAATCAACGGGACAATGAAGGATTCAGTATGCGACTCGAATTACTACACTTCATTTAAGAAAAAAATCAATTATGAGTTGTTATGGTTATTTACTTCGTTTCAGAAAATACTAGTCTATATCTAACCGGAATTTCTTATTGACCTTTAGTAAGTATTACCATAAAACAAACTTTCTAATTAATAATTTTAACCGTCATTTAGTATTTTGTAAAATAACTGGGTTTTGAATCCGACAAATCTAAGCAATGAACAAAGGTTCCAATTTGAGTGAATAACAGCTGAAAATCACTGACGAATCTTGTTAATATTTAGAACAATTTAAAAGTGGATGTACGGAGCTGAAACTTGGAGAACTACTATAACCATCATCAAAAGATTACAAGTATTTATAAACAACTGTCTACGCAAGATACTCAATGTCCGTTGACCGGATACCATCAGAAACAGCCTACTATGAGAAAGAACAAACCAACGTTTAGCTGAAGAAGAAATTAGGAATTTACTCTGGAGGTGAATAAGACATACATTGAGGAAATCATCAGAACGCATCCCGAGGTAATCCCTCAATTGTAATCCTAAAGAGAAGAGGAAAAGAGGAAGCCAAGGAACAATTTCGTCGAGAATTGGAAGCAAACATTAAAGGAATGAACAATATTTGGAAACAACTAAAAAGGATTGCCCATGACAGAGTTCGATGAAGAGCCTCGGTAGGCGGTCTATGCTCCTCCACATGGGGTGTAAGGAGTAAGTAAGTAAGTAAGTAAAAGTGAACACTGAAAATACCCGGTAGGTTTGGAGTACTTAACTAAAGTTGCTTGTTCTAATGGGATCTTGAATCGTTAGCAATTCAACTTTAAAGAACATGGAATTACTATTCTGATAGTGTTTCCTAGAGTATAATGATTTACTCATAATCATTATAGTCAATACAAACTACTAGGGTGAAACATAAACGTTCGGTTATAGTAACAGTAAATACGACATAAACAGTTAAATCTCATCACAATAATAATCAATCGGAATTTGAAATGAATTAAATATAGTGATGTATAAATCAAGCTATTTAAGCAAATTAATTCAAAGTTTTCGATAATTTTAAAATGGTTTATTTTCGAAAATTTCAAGGAAGTGGGATCAACGTTGTTCTCAAAGATAAGATTTTCAATAGCTGTTTGACTATTATCAATCACTAGCGAAAATTCTTTCAAATTGTTACCTTTAATTGGAGTAAACATGAAAAATTAATTTACAGAGGTCTTGTAGACTGAAGGCAAACTTCACATGCGGATGAAAAACGAGGAAACCAATCAAAACTATATCAAGGGGGACGTGATATCTTAACCAAAAAAAGAGTATTATCAGGTTAAATATTATTTGGTTTCCTTAATGGGTGTATTCAGTTTTTAAAGTATTATTGATCTTTTTACTATACTAAAAATGGAACCAACGCCCAAATTATGGGAACTTTATATATATATATATATATATATATATATATATATATATATATATATATATATATATGTCACCTCTAACTGTTTTACCTCGATTTACGATGCCATTCAGATGCTTGTGCTTCAAAGTCGGCATTTTGGTTTTGTACAAAACGGAATTGGTTCACATAACCCGGTCGACATTCTTCAGCAGTGTAGTCACCTAATTCAGCTGTAGGAAGTGAGATTAAAAAAGATATTGTTAAAAATGAGAAATAGTTTTGGCAACAAGACCAATGCAAAATTTAATATCCTACTAACAGTATATCTACAGAAGTCCCGATTCATCAATTGTGTAGTATATAGAATGTTGTACGTACGATAACTTTGGTTTAAGCCAGTAATACAAAGACAACTTTTAGTGAACCAATATCTTGACATTTTTTAATAACGAGTATGAAGCTCTGGAACTAAAGTAACTGTCAGTCGTAATTCGTTAGTAGTGAACATATTTAGTCTTTAGAGAACTGGTGTTCTTTGTTTGGTATAGATTAAAGTCATCTAATGTTATATTCAGAGACATTACCATTGGCTATTCAGAGGGATACTAATTTCCATCCGCACTAAATGATCGCTTAGTAATAGTCAGTGTCATGTTGTCTAATCCTCATCAGCAATCAAATTTTGTTGATCTTATCAAATGAAATGAAATATTGACTCAGTTACCACTCATATATTTTCGTTTGTTTAAAGGATTACCAAATGTTTGTATTCACCCATTAATAATCAGCTTAGAACCTGGTACATAGATGTTATCCCAAGTTTTCATATCAAATTTACACAACGAAACGAACTCAAAAAAGCTAATAATTAAGTAATCAGTATGGTAGAGCAGGAAAGATATTGAGAAAAACTGAAAATTGGGAGTATGGGAAAAGACAGTGGAAAATTGTGCATCAAGGAATACTTGAATTAGAAATCGAGAGGAAGATAAAGAATGACTGCATTTTTACAAGTGTCCAATGGCTGGGCCATATCCCTTAAAGTCTCCAGCAACTGATCAGGATTACCGAGTATTTCCTAACCAGGTAGTGGCATTTATCAACATGGCACGAACCAACAGTTATAAACTTCAGTGACTAATATCACGGATTGATTTGGCCAATTCCGCCTTTCTTCGAACCTACTCCTATATCGGTAAACATCACCCAACCTGGTAGGTATTCATTAAACGTACATAAAACATGTCCTAACCACCTCAGTCGATGAATATTCACTACTTCTCTAACAGATTTGCCATTTTCATCAATTATTCTATGCCCAGCCTGAACATTTATCACTCGATCGATCCACAAGACGCGAGAAATGCTTCGAAGACACTAATTATCAAACACCTGCAGCCTAATCAAGTTATCTGTTTTAAAAGCCCATGTTTCACAGACATAAAGTAGTATCAAAAGGAATTCTGTGGAGTAAACATGCCCTTTGGTTGGAAGATGGATATCTTACCCACACCACAAGTGACATGCTGAAATTAAATGAGATATCAACCACTAGGATTGATAAGGCTTCCAAAATAAGTGTAGTCAACTTACTCAAGTCAAAAACAAAATCACTTGCACAAGATTTTAATTAGAATCATCAAATTACATCACAATCAAATAAAAATCAAAGCGCTCGATTCTGACGACAATATGAATTCTGTGTTCTCTGTCTTCATGTTAACTTAATTACAAACCAGCTTATTCACTACTTTGAATCTGTTTGAAAAAACATTCAAACTCATTCAAAAATCTCTATTGAATTCACTTACCAATATTACACTTTAATTAAAACACTTTAGAGTAAGCTCTAAGTGAATTTGTCGATTAAAACAGTTTTGTTTTGAATATATAGAATTGTTTTTAAATAACTTGGAATGAACTACACATAAAAATATACCATAAAAACAATTCTAAAAAAAAAGATTGGAAATGAGAACTGTTGAGAAGAGCCTTGAGATAGATCAAAACGAATATTCAATGGCATTAGATTGTGATTAGTTTTTCTAAACAAAATATTAATTTATCGAAAAAGAATTATCTTTGAACTTTTACGAAAAGCACTTCAAAGTAAAAGTCATTTTCTTTTGACAATGGAAAATTTTCCTTTGTAAACGTAAGAAGTTAAATACAGTGAAAATATTCAATAAAACACTACCTCTCATTGATCATCCACTCTGTATTAAAATCACGTACAAACAGTTCAGTAAAAATATGAATATGAGATTTTACCAAAAGAAAAAAGCCTTGTGTCACTGAATAACTATAAAGACACGTGCATTTGTTATGAGGAAACAGGTGAACGTTAAATGGTTAGTTATAATGTATTAGTTTTGATCAATTATAGCTTGTTTTGTGATGATACACTTCCTGGATCCTGACATTGAAACTCATATCAATCTAAATAACTTGACTAAATCTATCTTTAACAATCAATGTTCAACCATTAAACTGCCAAAGGATAGAAAATCATCAGCTGTATATTTATGTGAGTGTAAGTGAATAAGCGCTGTGAATATGATAGCATAGATACAAATATCTTTCATCAACTATTCTCATAATATATAAAACAAGACGTATCTCGCTGTTAAATGTATCTGTGATGAAATCAGTAATAAATTTAAAAATTACTTACATTGCAAGGCTAACCCAGCTAGCTGAGTGGCGATTGATTTGGGAACAGGAAGACGGCCATCTAAAATATCTTTACGTATTTGTAAGAAGAACTGATATCTGAAAGGTAGACGGGAAAAGAAACAATAATTAATACATGCGAGCATTTTATGGGATCAAATCAAACTAAATATGATTGACAAGACAGAAGAAACTACGACTCATTAGTTTTCGGCTCTGTGACTTAGATTTATTTATTGTGTTGACTAAGATGCTTCAAGATAATGATGCTGATTCCTTTTACGGTCGTAAGGTGGGAACATTTTTTAGTGATCTGTCGATTTTAATCCTTCACCAACTCTCAAATACACAAACACATTTTCCAGAAACATCTATGTGACCTGATTAAATGTAAGTCTAGCAACGATAAAATAAGTACAAATATGTCCATACACTAGACGCAACTCTGGCAATGAGAGAGTCATTCTACATTGATATCGTATATAAAAGTGCTTTCATACTATGATAATTATATTTTAACAAAAAGGATCATTTATGAATCAAATAGTGAAGATTTACTAAATTTCCGATTCAGTATATATGATTTGTTTAAAATTAGTTATTTTTTGCAAAACCAATATCATTTAATATACTACTGAAAACAGAATAGTATTCACTAAATTGAAAATGACGGATTTCAGTTCTGATTTTCTGAAAATTTGTTACCCATATCAATTTATAAAGGTTATCTTCAAATGACTCAGAAATACCCTACGTTACATTGCTTAAACATTATATGACTGATGATTAGCTCACGAAATATGCACAAGATTTCTATTGTCACATTGACTAGTCTTATTCTATTTCGTTGACTTATCAGAAATTATCTTGCGTAGATGACTTCATGTATACATTTCAGATAGGAAACTGAAAAGCGTTATAAACTCTTCGGTTTCATTGATTTCATTGTTATTATAAATAGGTTTTATGCAAAATAATGATGATGTATTCTTGAAATGAAGGGATATTTTTTCCATCATTCCTTATTTTTAATGATGGTTGGTTTTTGGATTTTCCATCGAAATCACTTGATTTTAATTAATACTTCCTTCTCAAGACAGGGGTGTCGCTTACAAAATTTAAAGGACAAGAAGCGAATGTCCAGTACCTATAGCAGGTCGGTGGGTACGGAGGATCCATCTACGGAAGTTGGAAAACTTTGATTCCAAACCAATGGTGAACATGGACTGCAGGATTCTGAAGGAACAAATGGCGTATGAACCTGTTCTTGGTCACTGGCTACCACAGGATCGTATCTTCGAACGTTGCTCCCCTGCCTAGTGGATTTGATCTCATAAGCAAAGGTTTGGAAAGTAGTTTTTTAAGAAAATCATCTGTCTCGATTTGAGCACCCGAGTGGCATCTCGTACCACACACAAATTAAATGATAATTACTTAATAAACGCATATTTATTGTGATCCCTCTTTGTATCAATGTTAAAATAATAACAATAATAATAATAGTGATAATAATATAATTATTATTATATTTCAGTAATTCACAGGTCCAACTACACCAATATATTCATAAGCTTTATATTTTAAACTGAGTGAAGCACAATAAGACAGAAATTAAATATGAAATTCCATTGCATTTTTATTGAACGAACTTATTAAAAATGTTTAAATTGGAGTGTGTATATGAGAGATAGATTTTCTTGCCGCTATGACCGGTATTCTGAATACAAGTGTGTAGATATGTATACTGTTTAGTACAATCTCTAGTTAGAAACCTAACCAGAGGATTATTAGTGACACAGAGGACCGAAATCGAATATTGACAAGATTCATAAGCCGAAGTGAGAGTGATGTGACTAGTTGAAAGTGAGTCACCACACTTCGATTTTGTATCGAATCAAGAGGGATTCCCGGGTTTTCTATTTGTGATGAAAAAATAACCCTTCACTTATATAGTAATCAAGTAGAACAATTTAAATGAATATATTGCTATTATGGTGATTAACCGATACACTTACTGTACAGTTAAATATTTTATGTTGTGTTTAAACCTATCATAATGATACAATACAATAATAATACTGTGTACACCGAATTCGAGTTCTTGATTGTCTTGTTAAAGGCCTAAACTTATTGAGATTAGTTCTACTTCGTTATATTATTTCAAATTCACAGTTATCATTATGATGCACACTACTACGCCAATCGTTATTAGTAAAAATAAATTAAAAACCGCGTACATAATGATAACATGAATGGAAATCGACACAACTCAACAATTATTTTTAGTAAGTATTGGTGTGAAAGTAATAAAATTTCTGGTTATTCAATCTCATGCTGTTTAAAATACAATTAGCGTGTGATGATTACATGTATATCATACACAAATGGATAATGTATAAATGTGAATCACGATGTTTCGTTAAGCTTACATTATGGCATAACATAAGAAAAAAAGGTTGAAAAAAAACACTGATATTGAGTTTAATCGATTCTTTGTAAAAGAAAAATGAAATGAATAAAATATATTTGTCTCACTAAAGCGACAAATAAATCTGTTTACAAATTAATAATTATTAACAGTTTAGGGGTTGTGGATATTGTTAAGTTTTGGATTGAGATCATGAACCGATTGATGTTAGACCACCATTGAAAACCTGGAAGCACTGGGCGGCCATTTTGTCCTATTGTGGGACTCCTTAGCAGTGCCGACCACGATCATGCTCGCAGGATTCGAACCCAGGTCCTTCAGTCTCGCGCGCGAACACTTAACCTATTGGACCACTGAGTCGGCATCCAATGGTGTTAATGTCTAACCTCAACCAATCCACGACCATCTCTCATTGTACTGAGGTAGACACCTATTTCTACCCGGCACAGATTAGCTCCACTGGTCACGGCTTCTCGTGGATGCGCACTGCTGAGGAGTCCCACAATAGAACGAAACGGCCGTCCAGTACTTCCAGGTTTTCAATGGTGGTCTAACATCAATCGCTTCATGATTTCAATAATAGTTATTAAACCAACCATATTTGGAAGATTTTACACTTCAGTTTAAAGTAATTTGACAGTAGTTAATTGTTATTTGTGTTCTTTTTGGAGTGGATCAGATTATCTTTCAACAGGAAAATTTCCTTTTTGAGGATCATGATTTACACAGTTGATGTCACAGACTGATCTTAGCTAGACTATCATTGAGAATCTGGACGCACTGAACAGCCGTTTCGTCCTAGTAAAAGATTTCTCAGGAGTGCACATCCATGACTCTGAATGCGAGAAACGAAACCGGAGCCTATGGTCTCTCGTGCGAACGCTTAACCTAGAGACCACTGAGCCAGTACCTAAAGATGTTAACGTCTATTTGTAACCAACCAATCAACAAACTTGAGAAACCCTCCATCCATTGTCTGCATATCTGTCTCACATCTGATACTGATAGAATTCTATTGGTCACGACTTACCCAACATGATTCCAGGAAATACATCCTGAAGCTAGTCACTAGTGTGTATTTAGTTTAACAAAAACGGTTTGAAATTACTTGTATTTCGGTTTATCGAATGAGTGAGAAAATACAATTTATACAATTGTCTCAATGCTTAAGTAAACAAACGCTCCCACATTTCATATCTTTGTTTTATCTGGAACATTACCAAATAAAGTGGTTTACCCATGGAGAAAGCCGTTTTAATGATAGGTTGTTAAGAAATTATTTGAATAACTTTTAATGAATACAAATTAATAAAAGAGGATGGTATTGATGAATCTTAGCTAATCTTCTAAACTCAGTTTCATCAAGTTTCATATACATAAGAAGTGACCAGGATAGAATTTATTTGGCATTAAGTTTCTGCTTCACTCATGTTGAGAGACGGAGAACGTTAAAGATTGTGGCATATAATAGGTATTGATATCTTCTTAATTCAGCAATGTTCGACAGACATTCGTAACTGTTTAAAGCATCTTTAAGTAGAAAGCGCCTGAAAAAATATATATTAAGTGCTTTCACTCATAAACAGATCGCACCTTTATTCAGTTTCGATCTCTCCTTATTTTTTTTACCTATTACGCTCTTTGATCTAGAAGTGTTATCACTCTCGTCAAATAATCATATTTTTTTTAAGAAATGAAGCAACTGTTTAATAACTCAAAGCATTTCTTATTCTTTTAAGAGGATAAAAATAAATCTAATCACTTTTTAAGTGTGCTATATTAAATACTTTTAGGTTACAGATTTCCAATCTAAGCAAATTAAAAAAATACTCAAACAACAATTCATTCATAGTTGGTCACTAATGATTACATCATGTTGTATTGTAAACTAACCAAAGTTAGAAGCTTTCATTCGGTGTTCAGTTTGACACCTAGAGGTTTAAGATTAAATTTTGTGTGGATATAAAGTGTTGAATAATCTCAAACTACAGTGAAATATTTGTTCCATACTTCTCGGCTTTTAGTGGTTCTGTAGCTTATGCGAGTCCACAAAGAAGAAAATTTCCTAGGTAATTTAATTCCTATAAGCTGCCCGACGCAAATTCGGCTAGGCAGTTTACATGCAAATATACTTAGTTGGACACTAATTTAAAAATCCAGAATTAGTTACTATCATGTAATTGCGTTAACAGATTCGACTACAGGAAGCGATTAAGATAAGCTATTTAATGTGTATTATTTTTAATAAGAATAATCAAAAGCTTGAGAGATGCAACATTAAAGAAATATCTTTTCCAAAACTTTATTGCTTCATAATCAGTATTCATGAGTTTCAAAACGAGCTATTTTAATATATGACAAAAAGCACGTAAACTGTATTTCATACGTTATCTTTCAGCTGTTACCAATCATAATGTCTTTGTAATTCATGAATAAACTACAGGTTTATGTATTAGATTTTAAATCATCGTTTTTATTGGCTCTAAGACTCAGTGATACTATACACTTTTTCAGACTGAATAATATAGGATGAAATTCAAACAATCCAGTTTATAGCTGAAAATCAAAGACTTTTCTTACAGAACCACCAATCCATAACTATTAACTAACACACTTTTTATACATCATTGAAAGATTATTTGAAATTTGAAGAAATCAATTTGTACCGCGT